AACTGAACTAGAACTGAACTAGAACTGAACTAGAACTGAACTAGAACTGAACTAGAACTGAACTAGAACTGAACTAGAACTGAACTAGAACTGAACTAGAACTGAACTAGAACTGAACTAGAACTGAACTAGAACTGAACTAGAACTGAACTAGAACTGAACTAGAACTGAACTAGAACTGAACTAGAACTGAACTAGAACTGAACTAGAACTGAACTAGAACTGAACTAGAACTGAACTAGAACTGAACTAGAACTGAACTAGAACTGAACTAGAACTGAACTAGAACTGAACTAGAACTGAACTAGAACTGAACTAGAACTGAACTAGAACTGAACTAGAACTGAACTAGAACTGAACTAGAACTGAACTAGAACTGAACTAGAACTGAACTAGAACTGAACTAGAACTGAACTAGAACTGAACTAGAACTGAACTAGAACTGAACTAGAACTGAACTAGAACTGAACTAGAACTGAACTAGAACTGAACTAGAACTGAACTAGAACTGAACTAGAACTGAACTAGAACTGAACTAGAACTGAACTAGAACTGAACTAGAACTGAACTAGAACTGAACTAGAACTGAACTAGAACTGAACTAGAACTGAACTAGAACTGAACTAGAACTGAACTAGAACTGAACTAGAACTGAACTAGAACTGAACTAGAACTGAACTAGAACTGAACTAGAACTGAACTAGAACTGAACTAGAACTGAACTAGAACTGAACTAGAACTGAACTAGAACTGAACTAGAACTGAACTAGAACTAGAACTGAACTAGAACTGAACTAGAACTGAACTAGAACTGAACTAGAACTGAACTAGAACTGAACTAGAACTGAACTAGAACTGAACTAGAACTGAACTAAACTGAACTAGAACTGAACTAGAACTGAACTAGAACTGAACTAGAACTGAACTAGAACTGAACTAGAACTGAACTAGAACTGAACTAGAACTGAACTAGAACTGAACTAGAACTGAACTAGAACTGAACTAGAACTGAACTAGAACTGAACTAGAACTGAACTAGAACTGAACTAGAACTAAACTAGAACTGAACTAGAACTGAACTAGAACTGAACTAGAACTGAACTAGAACTGAACTAGAACTGAACTAGAACTGAACTAGAACTGAACTAGAACTGAACTAGAACTGAACAAGAACTAAACTAAAACTGAAATAGAACTGTACAAGAACTGAACTAGAACTCAACTACAAACGAGCTTATATTATATGCCATATCTTTGACAATACTCTTACAGATCCAATAAGTGACTATATATTTTATTTTTCACTGATTGTTAATGCATTTAAAAGGCACACACTATATGTATGAATGTATATTCATATACAATGTATATTAAAAACAGAACTTTGAAAATCAACGTTCTAAGACATGCAAAAAAGTTAGTGTAGGTCAGTGACAAAAGAGTACATATGTATATACATAAGTATGTATATCCGATGATAGTTATTGACATTTTAATGAAAATTAACCAATTGTTAATAATTTGACTAGAATATTTATGGAAAAAAATTGATTAGAGTTCCTTGTCCTACTTCTATCGCGTACTCTTTATAATATTTTTTTAAATATAAACATAAGTAAGTAATACAATTAATTAAATAATAAATATACTCGTAATTTATTTACAATATGTTAAAATGTACGTATGGGTGTATAGATAGCTATACATATGTATGTATGTAAGTATGAGTGTTTGAACAACTAGTTTTTTTCGTCTATTCGATATGATTAGATAAATACTTTACTATTTTTAATTGAAATTGTTACAAAATCTTGTATGCAACGTGATGCATAAACAAGTTTTTAAACGCACCTGTCTTTGGTGGTGGCAAGTATTATGCTGCTGCTGCTAGTTGGATGGTTGGTTTGTTGGTTCGTTGGTTGTTTCTGCTGCTCTTGTTGCGGCTTTCTGTCTTGCCACCACAGACCGACCGATCGACAGACTTACATACTACATGCCACAAACATACGGCATACATTCACAACAACAATAGCAACAGCAGCAACATCGTCATGATGCATACTGAAAGTAAAATGCGGTTTAACCAGTCTTGTTGTAGAAACAATTTTATTTATTTTTTTTTTTTTGTTTTTATCATTTCCTAACGTAATCACTCTTCACTTTCAATATTTCTTTATTTATTTATTTCTTTATGGTGGTTTAAGTTTAAGAAACACATGCAGACTATATATAGAAGCCAAGTTTACTATCTCCATTAAATTCTAGTAAATAAAGCTACGTGTCACATTTGCTAGCTAAGTTAGTTAGTTAGTTAGTTAGTTTGTTAGTTAGTTAGTTAGTTAGTTAGTTAGTTAGTTAGTTAGTTAGTTAGGTAGTAAGTTAGTTAGTTAGTTAGTTAGTTAGTTAGTTAGTTAGTTAGTTAGTTAGTTCGTTAGTTAGTTAGTTAGTTAGTTAGTTAGTTAGTTAGTTAGTTAGTTCGTTAGTTAGTTAGTTAGTTAGTTAGTTAGTTTGTTTTAGTTAGTTAGTTGTTATTCGTTAGTTAGTTAGTTCGTTAGTTAGTTCGTTAGTTAGTTCGTTAGTTAGTTAGTTGTTAGTTAGTTAGTTGTTCGTTCTTTCGTTCGTTCGTTCGTTCGTTCGTTCTTCGTTCGTTCGTTTTCGTTCGTTCGTTTCGTTCGTTCGTTCGTTCGTTCTTTCGTTCGTTCGTTTGTTCGTTCGTTCTTCGTTCGTTCGTTCGTTCGTTCGTTCGTTCGTTCTTTTCGTTTCGTTCGTTCGTTCGTTCGTTCGTTCGTTCGTTCGTTCGTTCGTTCGTTCGTTCGTTCTTTTTTTCGTTCGTTCGTTCGTTCTTCGTTCGTTCGTTCGTTTCGTTCGTTCGTTCGTTCGTTCGTTCGTTCGTTCGTTCGTTCGTTCGTTCGTTCGTTCGTTCGTTCTTTCGTTCGTTCGTTCGTTCGTTCGTTCGTTCGTTCGTTAGTTCGTTCTTTCGTTCGTTCTTCGTTCGTTCGTTCGTTCGTTCTTTCGTTCGTTCGTTCGTTCGTTCGTTCGTTCGTTCGTTTCGTTCGTTCTTTCGTTCGTTCGTTCGTTCGTTCGTTCGTTCGTTCGTTCGTTCGTTCGTTCGTTCGTTCTTTCGTTCGTTCGTTCGTTCGTTAGTTCGTTCGTTCGTTCGTTCGTTCGTTTGTTCGTTCGTTCGTTCGTTCGTTTCGTTCGTTCGTTCGTTCGTTCGTTCGTTCGTTCGTTCGTTCGTTCGTTCGTTCGTTCGTTTTCGTTCGTTCTTCGTTCGTTCGTTTCGTTCGTTCGTTCGTTCGTTCGTTCGTTCGTTCGTTCTTCGTTCGTTCGTTCGTTCGTTCGTCCTCGTTGCCCCTCTGCGGCCCCTCTTTCCCCGCTCCCCCCCTCTCCCCTTTCCCCCTCCGCCTCCCCTCGCGCTCGCCGCTTTTGCTTCTCTCCCTTTCTCTCGCGTCCCTTGTTTTGCTGTGTGTCATTCTTTCTTCTTTCGTTAATATAGTTGTATGCTATATTTATAAGCGCTAAGGAGAGACACTTGGTCCAATTCTGTCGTTTTTTCCAGGTCCATTGAACTACTAACTGCTGCAATTTCTTCTATGTAGTTATAGTTCTTAGTAGTTTTATGATTTGGAAAAAAACAATGCTATATTTTTGGGAATTCATTGTATTCGTAAGATTTTATAAAATAATTGCTAGTCGTTATAAAAGTAAAATGCACTCATTTACTTATGATTTGATTTAAAAGACATACAAAAGATAAGATAAACTGTATCTACATATTGACTCTGTACACCCAAAAAAAAGTGAATTTATTAATTGCATATAAAAGAAATGCCGTAGTAGATACGAAAAAGTCTGTATTTATTATGTTTAATAGGGTGCTGCAGAAAAAAAAAATTGCAAATTTTGTCGGTTCATATAAACAAAAAGTTTTTTCTGGGATTGTTTAATGTAATTTAGAAGTAAAATTCCAAGATATTTACTCTTTATTTTGTAACCCTTTTTACAAAAGTGATTATTAATTTCCGATAGATGTTATTGCTGAATTGCAAACCGTGTTACTGCACCTAAACTACTATATTTTTATTTTGAATGTGTTTTAAAATCAAATGTACTTATTATCTGTACTAAATTAGATGCTCTAGATTTTATAGATTATACGGGTCGCGATCATATAGTTTCTAATAAATTCAAAATTCGATATTAGTTCTTATTAGTTATTTAGTATGAATGCTTTAAATACTAATATAATTTCTGAAAACTACATACGCATTATATTGATGAAAATCATAATCTATTCACTGTATTCATAAAGATATTAATCGCCTATTAATGGTTTATTAAGCAATTTTTATATAAAATTGTATAATAAATCAGTTTATTAAGCGTTTATGAACACGGGTGTATATTCTTTGCGACAAGGCAAAATATTTAATGACAATTAACAAATCCTTGCGATTTCAAAATTCATTAAAAGGGAACCAAAATGGCGATATATTTATAAATATATACTCACATATGTATGTAAGGTGTATATATAATATTTTATTGCAGAGACATAAAATCTATTTAAAAATATATGAACCACCAATCCCGAATCAATGATCTTTTATATAGCAGATTAACACAGCCGAGTAAGTGTCTGTACATTGGTTATTATTATGGCATTGGGTCAGACAGACTACATGTGTCTGTATGTAATGCTTACACATGTATAGGCCTATAAGGAGATGTGATTGAACGCTTCTTAAGAAGACTTTATAAAAAAGATTTGAAATCAAAATTTAATACAAATACTTATAAAAAGGAAAAATATATATAAACTGCGTCTGCATTGGAATCGGTAATTCTATATATGCACGCATACCTATATTTATATTTATATATGTATATAAATGTATTTAGTTCAGTTGTGTACCTAAATGTGTACTTACAAAAAGTATGAACGAACATGTGTGGGTTACTGATAAGATTTGTATGCAGCTCTGAGGGAAGATTAGTTTAGTTTTCGCACTCATTGCTGCTAGACGTGCATATTCTTGTGGAAATTGTTGTGAATTTGTTTTTTTATTATTATTATTGTAGTTGTAGATTCTTTATAAAAGTATAAACATTTTCAAGGTCATTCGATTTGTAGTATTATTATTATATCAAAAAAGTGAAAGCAAATTATACGAGTAACCAAATGTACAAACAATTTTTAAACTAATGCACATACGCATTTGTTTTATTTCTTTAAATGAAACGTTTTTTTCAGATTTGAAATTTTAAAATAATAATTATAATGGTTACAATTTTGTAAATATAACTATCTATACAATTTAAATAATAATTAAATTTGTATTCTTTTATACAAATAGATTCTGCCATACTGCCAATATTATAAACAAATCTACCTCAAACAACTTAGTATGTATTAACTATAAACAAACGCACCTAATAAATATTCATCTAACAAACTAAAAAGGATTCCAAAACCATAAAATACCTTTATTAAAAAGAAATCGGCTATTAACATGGATATTAACAGCTTGACATATCCCAGATAAACAATACAAGAGAGATATAGAGAAGAAATAAAAGAACAAATGCATCCTAGATGTTGGACAAAATATTCATAAAATAATTGGAAGATTTATTTAATAGACTAATAGACCTACTAAGTATAATTATGTATTCAGTGGTTACCAAAAATGTCGATAACACGACGACGACAACAAACAACGAACAAAACACTGAAAAATGTAATGCAGACAAATGTCAAGAAAATATTGAACCGGCCATTGATAATATTCAAATTGATAATGGTCATGTGAATGCCAATGACAAGCGTCGCGATTCTACACAGGTATGGACACCTCTTCTAGAGAATGGCAGTCAAAATAAAATGAATTTAGCAAATGCTAACCATCATCATACCAACGAATCAAGTGATGCCATTTATTCTGGTGAAGTTAGTAATAATAACGATTGGAATGGCGATAAACTGAAGACAAACGGTTTAGAAAATTCCTTGAATCGTAGTAATAACAATGGTCCCGCAATAAATGGTAAAACAGCAGCAGCGTTGATAGATAAATGTGATGAACATGATCCCCTTACGGGCTTATATAAAGAGAAGCCAGACCAGAAAAACTACTCTGATGATGTTAATTTTGCGGGGGAAGAGGGCTGCGGTCTTTTTGGCTGTAAACCCAAATGGGCTCGCAGTTTTGCTTCAACACATATGTTTATGGTGGTCTTTCTTGTGGCCTACATATTGCAAGGCATGTATATGACTTATTTCGTTTCGGTCATAACCACCATAGAAAAACTTTTTCAAATCAAGTCAAAAACCACCGGCTTTCTGCTCAGTGCCAGTGAAATGGGTCAAATAAGTACGGCCATGTTACTGACATACTATGCCGGACGCGGTCATCGTCCTCGTTGGATTGCCTGCGGTATGGTGCTTTTTTCCATTGCAGCATTTGCTTGTGCTCTACCTCATTTTATATTTGGCGAAGAGCTTATACAGTCTACAGCTTTAATGAGTAAAAATAGTCCAATCAATTCGACCAATACGGATTTACCATCTACATTAGCTTTTCATATGAACGAACTTAGTCACAATACAACTTCGTCCATGATGATGACGTCGACTCCTCGACACATTGAAATGAATCTCTGTCATGTTGATGACTATCCTCAGAATTCTACAGCAGGTAATTATGAATTTATGAAAATATAAAAATTAGATTTTCTATAGAAGAAATTCAACCTTTTTACAGAAAAAGTTGCTGGAATGCAGACAACTTTTCTATAGAAAAAATTTTCGCTATTAATATCCTTTTTTCTTTACAGAGTGCAATGAAGATCGTAAGCTTGAACAAGTATCTCACTCAAAAATTACTGTTATTGTTCTATGTATATTTTTCGGAAGTTTACTTAGTTCCGGCATCGGTCAAACTGCCGTCTCTACTTTGGGTATACCCTATATCGATGATAATGTTGCCAGCAAACAATCGGCCATGTATATGGCCATAACAATTGGCGTTCGTATACTAGGTCCCGCGTCTGGTTTCATTGTCGGATCAGTGTGTACTCGCTGGTATGTAAACTTTACTAATCCTGGATTTGATGCTAGCGATCCGCGGTGGATCGGTGCCTGGTGGCTGGGTCCGGTGGTAATTGGTAGTCTTATGTTGCTATCATCGATTGCAATGTTTTCGTTTCCCAAGCAATTGCGTGGTAAGAAGAGTGCACCGGGTGCGGCTAAGGAAAAGTCAGTGGCTGCAAAAGAGCCAGTAGAGCCGGAAGAGAAACCTCGTTTAAAAGGTAAATTTAATTATTAGATGTAATTTTTGATGTTTGAGTTTAACTTGACTTAACAGTTAGTGTAAAATTTACCAAATTTAGCAAGTAATTACTAAAAAATAAAGTTTACATTTAAACTTATAATAATTTAGATGGTTTGTTACAGATTTTCCCAAAACTGTCAAACGCCAGCTGAGCAATGACATATTAATGTTTCGAACAGCTTCTTGTGTTTTCCACTTGCTACCCATTGCCGGTCTGTACACCTTTTTGCCCAAATACCTAGAGACCCAATTCCGTTTGGCACCCTATGATGCCAACATGGTGGCGGCCTTTTGTGGCATACTTGTTATGGGCATAGGAATTGTGGTGTCTGGTCTGGTTATATTTAAATTTAAACCAACTGCTCGAGCTGTGGCTGCATGGATAGCTTTAACAGCTTTGATATACTCCGCTGGTATGGTCATACTAATGTTTGTGGGTTGTAACATGTATGATTTTGCCGGCTATAAGCCAGCAACAAGTTCATCGTAAGTATGTGACAGTTGTGGTAGACATTATAACTATTCTTTGTTTGTGTTTTAGACCAGCAGTAATAGAGCCCGTTTGCAATGCTGTGCTTAATTGTACGTGCGATAAAGAACAATTTGCTCCAATTTGTGGTATTGATGGAAAAATCTATATATCCTCCTGTCATGCTGGATGTTCATCGGCCGGCTTACGCATGGAGGATAATCATACAGTTTTCTCAGAATGTTCTTGTATTGAGGATGGTATGTTGGTTTGTTTGACTTGTGTAATAGCAAGAGGTTTCAACTTTGTTTTGGAATATTATTGTTTAATTACAGCTCCAATTGGTAACAATAGCAATTCCTATGAGGCATTTAGTGGTTACTGCGATAACAATTGTAAAAACTTTATTATTTTCATTATAATCTTTGCCGTATGCGTTTTTATGCATTCAACATCGGAAGTGGGTAGTATGCTATTGGTTATGAGGTGTACACATCCTAAAGGTATGAGTTCCTTTATTGTGGGCGATTAATTGTTTATTTAATTAACTTTTATTACTATATTGTTTGTTTTTTAGATAAAGCTATGGCCATGGGTTTAATACAATCGGCAATTGGTCTTTTTGGAAATGTTCCCTGTCCTATTATTTACGGCGCCGTGGTGGACTCAGCGTGTCTTATTTGGCGTTCGGTATGTGGCAAACATGGTGCATGTTCTCTTTATGATGCAGATACATTTAGGCACTATTTTCTTGGTAAGTTTATAAATATTAATTTAATACTTAATTTGTGCTTCCGGTAGATTAGTAATTAGAGTACTAGTCTAGTGTCAGACCGGAGGTCGATGGAAGTCTAAATGTATTTCTTCGGCTTTGATGTAACATATATTTTCCATTCAAACAAAAAATGCTTAATATTTATAATTTACCTAAAAAAACTAAAACCGTTTTATTTTCAATTAGGTATAACCGCTGGTATAATGTTTCTGGCTTTCATTATGGACTTAGTAGTATGGAGTAAAGCACATCGCATAGATATAGCGCCCGAAGAAAATGCCGAAAAGAAATCTCCCGAATCTGAATGTCAAAAATCAATGGCGACAGCACCTGATACTTCTGTTTAACTTTAAAGAAGACTACTAGTAGCTTATTTATCTATATCACCCACATCAGAAGTCAAATAACTGAAAGTGGTATATTAATCATAATAAACAATTTATGTACAGATCACAAGATTTTAGAATAATATTTAATTGTAAGATGATCATAAGATAATTTTCAGATTTTTTTTTTTTTTATTAATTTCCAAAACATTCTCTAAAAGGAATGAAAATTTAAAATTTTTGGAAATTTGAAAAAACAAAACTTTTTAGAATTAAACGATTTTATGGAAAATGGGGTGGGTCGTTTAGAAACTGAAATGCCAGACCCCATAATTAAAATTTGTTAAACGTTACTTTATGGCCTTAACGTTATATAATACACACATTTACATTTACATACATAAAAAATCAATGTCTGTCAAAACATTTTTTTAACAAAAATAACGCATTCTCCAGTGTTTCTTTTATGAAATCATCAGCAACTTAAATACCTTATGTTAGCTGGGAAAATTTAATAAATTTGATAACTAACCAATTTCACAAAAAATACCCTCAATTTTTTTATCTAGACAATATAAAGAATGAAGGTCAAGATCAAGTGACAACAAATTTTGTTTATGTATTTCGTTTTTAACAATTATACTGTCAATGTCTGCAAATATATTAATAAATATATGGTAGTTTATTATTACTCAATATAAATTAATTTAGTATCAAATTTTTGCAACTATTGTATTTAAGTTGTTTGTTTGCATCTAGAGTTTCATAAAAGTCGGAAAAAACACGCTTAATGCAATTTTTGTTCATGTGCAATTTCATTTAATTTAAGAATTTTTTAGTCTATAAGTTAAACTCATTTATATGTTGCATTTATTGATTGCTCGATCGATACGATACGATTATAACAAGAAACAACTAAAATAATCTCAGTCAAAAAAGAAAAGAAACAAGATAATAGACTTGTCCTTATGTTTAGCGAATATTTTATACAAATACAATATAAAATTTATACTATAGATTGATTAACTCTCAAGTTCAATAAAGTAATGAAACTCAAAACACCGCTAAATAAAAATTAATTTTTAAAATTATTAGTTTATTATTTTTGTATATTTATATTCAGGTATCTTAAAGTATGTATAATCGCAGCTGAACTTCTTTTTCAGAAGAACTTGGGTGAAAATGTTAGAAATTGGCAAATTTCATAAAAAAATCATTTGTAATTTTTTCAAAAAACAAATTTTGAAACATATTCACCCCTATTCTGCATTTCGATTACGTTTCCGCATTCAGTTACGCTACGATCGAAAATGGGTATTTCAACAAAAAAATGGAATCGTAAGAAAAATAAGAAGCAATTACATATTATTTCAACGCTTTACGATTGTGTGTATTCTGCAATACGATCGTAACTACGTTTTTGTAAGTTGTTATTTTAGTGGCGGAGCCTTGAATCGAAATGCAAAATATCAAAGTTGCAAACGGAGAAAATTTCGATTCGAATTGAAATGCAGAATAGGGGTGATTGTGAAATAAAATATCCACTGAAACTCTTAATTGACATCGAAATTTTCTACCAAACTTTACTAATTTGACAGGAAAACAGTATAAAAATCCTATCAAAATAAAAGAAAAACACTCGCTAATGGTTTAAATAGTTTAATGTTAACAATGGGCATTTATTTTAATTTAACAAAAAAAAAAAATTACAAACGATTAATGAAAAACATGTGTGTACAAATAATGTTGAGTTTTGATGTTTTGGGCTATTTTCAGTCAGTTATTAACATTTTATAAAAACTATTTGAGAATTAATTTACCATCATTAAAGTCTCAAAGCCTTAAGAAATTTACTTGAGAGTGATAATTAACAACTTTTAATAAAACCTACACAAAATAATGTGTGGTAATATATAATAAAAAATAATAATTGAACTTGGATTAACTTTCGGGGGACCATAATTTAAATGTGCGATCAAATGATGTTGTAGCTATGAACTGTGAGTCTGGTGATATATCTAATGAAACCACTTTGCCATCGTGACCCTGTAGTGTTTTGAGTGGTTGCCACGTTTTATTAGACCATATCTTAGTAGTGCAATCGTAAGAACACGTAACAAGAAAACTACCGCCATCACGTTGATACTTGACATCGGAAATAAGATTGACATGAGCCGGTATTGTGTACACAGATTGACGACGTCTTAGATCCCATATTTTACAAGTATTGTCCTGGGAACCAGTAGCAATATGATAGCCATTGGGTGAAAAGTCTGCACCGAATATAGAACCCAAATGTCCTTCCAAAAACATTATACAACGACCTGGAAAACAATCAGTTATAAGTAATATTGGAAAAAATGGACTTAAAGTTTAAATACAAACCTGTTCGCAAATCCCAAACTCTGCCGAAAGCATCTAGACCGCCCGTAACTATAACACTGCCTTCCGATTGAAAGCTTAAACAATGCACAGCCTTTGCATGGCCCTCTTGATGAAGTACTTCAGTCTTTTGCTCCAAATCCCACAAGCGCCATGATGCGTCATAACAGGCAGTGGCTAGAAAACGACCAGATGGATGAAAATTCAATTTCGATACGCGATGAGGCATATGTCCCGTTATGTCAGCAATTGATTCTTCAGAATCGAACCCCCATAATTTTACAGCACCATCATGACCTCCGGATGCCATAGCTACCACATTTTTCTCTTCAAATGAAACGCCGGGACGAAAAGCCACTCCTCCCACATAACTTGTATGACCGCGTAGAGTTTGTTCTAGGTTACAATCGGGTACCCGCCAAACTTTGCATAAACCCGACCAGGATGATGTCATCAAGAGAGACGAATCATGATTGAAAGCACAACCGCCCAATGGACGGGTATCACCCACCTGACTGGAATGTGGAGCTAAAGATTGAAGACGTTTTTGTAATTCCACCATACGACCGGCTCTGGTAGCACTTGGCACTTCTAGAGCCTCTTTAGCTTTCTCTAAACGTTCTCTCGCTCTAGGCAATGAATAATCGGCAATCCATAGCCTAGCTATCCTAAGAGTTTCTGGACCCTCGTGGTACCAAGTAGTTTCCTGTTCTTTTTGCAATTGCTTTCGTTCTTCTTCTTCGGCTAACTTTTGTTTTATAGCGTTTTCTCCCAAACTGGCCAACAACTCCCTGAGACGCCTTCTGCGCTCGGCCGGCCCTTCGCCGAAATAGCAAATGGGCTCATTTAACTGACGTAAATTTCGTTTGATCTCCGCATCATCGGTAGATACATTTATTTGTCGTGCTCTCTTTTTGCGCTCAAATTCCTCCAGTAAGGCTACTTTATCCTTCGATATTTCCGTTTCCAAATCAAAATAGTCATCGTCGATCTTATTTGCTAGGGCGGCGGCAGTGGGTGGAGGCGCTATAGTTGTTCCATGCTTTTTCTGCTCTTCATAGTCTTCATCCGAATCTATATCTTCCAGTTGGGAAGCTTGTGTTGCTGTCGTAGCATTCGATGTCGCTCCAGCCAACATACGTTTGCGCTCAGCGTCCTCCAATGAACCATAATAAAGTGTTCTTTGCCGCTTAACGTATTGTATATCGTCATCGGACATTTTCTTTACGCCACCAAACAAAATAAGAAAAAGGTAAAACAAAATCTAAAAATACGCGTTTAAAACTAATAAAATCTATGATTTCAGCCAAAAATTTCCTAACTTTCTTAATAAAATGAATACAAACGATAAACGTACATAAAAAATCACCGGCAAATGCGCGAAGGCACAGGGTTGATTTTTGTGGGAACATATGACAGATACACTGATGCAAATTTAAGTATGTATATGAAATAGTACTATTTTAATATTTGGAAAACATGTCAAGATTTTGAACGTATTCCAATGATAAAAGTGAATAATTTTAAATTAATTTCAGAAAAATCTTACTTTTGCACAAAAAAATTAATGTTTTATGTATGAAAAATAAGGATTTTTGTACAAAATCGAATCTGGTTTATTAACTTATACATATAATAACGGGCTCCCAATACGATGTTGCAACTTTTTGGAAAAGAATTTTTATTTTGTTAATGGGGAAGAAAAAAGTACCAAAAGGGGTAAAAACGGGAAATTTGATTTCATTCAAGAAACACTAAATATGCTAATGGGGTGTTATTTGGAACACCGGTACCAAGTGATATTTTTTGGTACTTTTTCATTCTCCCACTGGTACTTTTTGAGTTTTCTATGATATTGAAATCGAAACATGAAATTAATAATTAAGGGACTTTTCGGAACTTTTTCGTTCTACAAAGGTACTTTTTGAGTTTTCTATAAAATTTAACCTAGAAACATGTAAGTAAGCAAGTAGAGTCCGGAGTTTTTCGTTCTTCAAAAGGAACTTTTTGAATTTTCTATAATATTAAACTTAGAAACATGAAAGCATGTAGAGCCCGATTAAGTGAGAACCTGGTTCTTCAAAAGGTACATTTTAAGTTTTTGTATAATAATGAACCTAGAAACGTGAAATTAAGCATGTAGAGCCCGTATTAAGTGAGGTCCTATAAAAGGGGACTTTTTGGTAATTTTTCGTTCTTCAAAAGGTACTTTTTGAGTTTTCTATTAAATTGAACATAGAAACATGAAATTATGCACGTAGAGCCCGGAGTAAATGAGAATCTATAAAATGACACTTTTTGGTACTTTTTCGTTCTTTGACTGGTACTTTTTGAGCTTGCTACAAAATTTGAAACTCGAAACATGAAATTAAGCACTTAGAGCCTGGAGTAAATGAGAATCTACTGGTACTTTTTGAGTTTTACATAAAATTAAATATAGAAACATAAAAATAAATATGTAGAGCCCGGAGTAATCTATAAAAAGGGACTTTTTAGTACTTTTTCGTTCTTCGACTGGTACTTTTTGATTTTTTTTTATAATATTGAACCTAGAAACATGAAATTAAGAATGTACAGCCCGGATTAAGTGCTAACATATAAAAAGGGACTTTTTGGTACTTTTTCGTTCTTCGACTGGTACTTTTTGAATTTTTTATAATATTGAACCTATAGACATGAAATTAAACCTGTAGGGGCATGGAGTAAGTTAGAACATATAAAACGGGACTTTTTGGTACTTTTTCGTTCTTCAACTGGTACTATTTGAATTTTCTATTATAATGAGCCTAAAAACATAAAACTAAGCTATCAGGGACTTGAGTGAATGAAAATTTAAACTGGAGTAATTTTTCGTTCTTTAACTGGTACTTTTTGAATTTTCTAAAATATTGAATATATAAAAGTTAAAATTAAACACGCAGTATCCTAATTGAACGAAAATTTATCTCGCTTACGTCCATTTTGCAAAAAGGGCTCGATATCAATCGAAATCTCTATAGGCCATAATTGACCCTGCCCCCTTCAATAATTGTATGTATATGAAATCTTCTTCAGAAAATGACTTAAACGCACATAAATGGCTTTAAAAATCTCGATGTCGAAGAAAAAAACATTTTTAGGAACCAAAACCTACATTTATGAAAAATAAAATTTTGAGGATCGGTCCGCCAATATAACCCTCTTACAGAAAATCAGTTTATAGCTAATACATCATTCCAAAAGTTATCATTATGATAGATTTATGGTAGAATTAAAAAAAAATACTTTAAATTATAGAGAACTTTGTCCATAATTGACCCAATTCCACATTTAAGTCTCTAATCCGAAAATTACGGTGACGTTCTTATTAATCTAATGATCAAAGTCCATATATATATGTATATGACCACTTCCGAAATTTGCTTTTTTACGTCAAATGATTTGCCGAATATAACACTTACTCCTTACTTATTTTAATCATAAAGAAATTACCGCTAAAATAGGAATAGTCTGCCTTTAGAGTTGCGAGTTTTCATACACTCTAATAATGTTTTCAAAGTGAAACTTTTGGAATATTTTTCAATCTCTTTGTGATCCCTTTACATGATGTTGTTCTGGAAGAACTTTAACATCCATGTAAACATTTTGGGTAATAAATTGGGGGACTACCAATGAGGGGAGCGGAACCTCCCATATGAATAAAATACAAAAATTCGTTTATCTGGGAAACTAATAGAACTAAATTCTTCAAATTTTGCACGAAGAACTTTAATATTCATCTGAACATTTTGGAGAAAAAAGGGCGGACTTTCATCTGGGGGGCTTGGAGCTCCCATATGAATTAAATAGAAAAATTCGTATATCTGAGAAACTATTTAAGCTAGAATCTTCAAATTTTACTGAAGAACATTTAGTGAACTTGCAATAATTTGCGTGGAATCTCCCATATGTAACAAATTGTATATCTGGAAAACCATTGTAGTTAGAATCATCAAAATCGTTAACTGGATTTCTTATTTATATACTTTCTGATCTCTCGGATTCCGTTTTTATTTAAAATCGTTGAAAAATTAAAAACTAACGTAGTTGAAAACTTAGCCGGCTTACAGTCGATTTTAAGCCGCCGCCGACATATTTAGTGTCAGTCGCCGCCGCCGTTAATATTTCTCGGCGTAGGGCTCTGTTGGAGAAATCGTGAAAAAATTTGGAAAAGAAATAAAATAAAGACATTTTTATGAAAAAAAAAAAATTAATAAAAACGTGCGGTTATTATAAACAATTGCAAAAATATCATTAATATCAAAATAACATTTAATATTCCCAACAATTTTACAAAATACGCTTAATTCCCAACAGAATAAATACAATTTCTTGAGCTTTTAGATTTTGGAATGAAATTGTGAATGATTAAGTAAAAAGTGCAAAATTCTTGAAAATCGTTTGCAAAATCCACAAGATTAGGATCGGTGGTTGTTCTGTTTCCCTTACTAACTAAAAAGACTAGCTAACCGAACGATAAACGCATTAAAACGGACACAAAACATGGATGAAGATTGGACGGGCAAAGCTGTTTCTATAGAATGTGACGTGAAACTGGGAGTATTTCAGGGTATCATATCACAGTGCACACCATCAGAAATTACTATAGTACGGGCATTTAGAAATGGTGTGCCTTTGCGAAAGCAAGATGCTGAAGTGACTTTACGATCATCGGATATTTTAAAGATAAGTTTGATTCCATCTTATAATGGACAGAGTTCTGTAACACCAACAGTCATCAACAAACCCACGCCCGTTAAACAGCCCAATTTTGCCAGTGCAGGAACATTAACATTAGTACAAAGTAACACGACCGGCAGAGCCTCTGAACAACAAAACGACTGCTCCGATGTAAATTCAACACTCAGTAATAAGTTGACTAAAATGAAAGTACATACAAATACAAACAATTATGAACAACCAGCAAGGTAATAAATAATTCTTGACCACTTTACCATAAAAACAATTGTCAATTGCAAATTTTATTTATAGCGCCCCAAAAAGTATTTCAAGAGCCTCAAGCGCGCAACAAGTTTTATACGGCAGCACCAAATCTACGCCTCCACCACAAACATCTGCATTAACTTCCGGTAGTGTTGCTAACTTTTTTGGAAATTTGATTCCACACAAAGTTGAGGTACGTCTTGGCTCAACTGGTTTATCAGGAGCATGCGGTTCAGCATCTTTATATTCCACGTCCGATGGCGGCAGTAGCAGCAGCAAACCCATTGACATTGTACAGAATAAAGGTGGTTTCTTTAACAACCAAAACAACGGCGGTGCTTCGTATTCAAGCGGCAATGGCGGAGGTCAAGGCAATAATAGAACTCAAAGGACTAATTCATGTTATGCAAACAATGGAAACAATGGTGTTAGTAATGGAAACGCTGGTCGTAGTAAGCAACGCAACAAACAGCTACGCCGTGAAAATAGTGTTAAGCATAATCAGACATTTGGCACTTCGATGGATGATCCACTACTCAACGAAGATTTCGATTTTGAGGGCAACTTGGCCCTGTTTGATAAACAAGCCATTTGGGATTCGTTGGAGGCAGGCAAAAAACCTGATGTTGTACAACATGCCGTTTCAGCACAACAACAGAAAAAGTACCGCCACGATGAAAATGTCATAGTCAGCGAACCAGCTGAAATGCGCCAAATTGAATCACTTTTTGAGGGTTCAGAAGATTTCGTAACGGACGAGGGTCTTATCATACCCACTGTACCATCGTTTGTGCGTTTGAAAATTGAAACATGTGCCCTTAAATGCGGTCTTACCCTGCAGCGTCAACTGGATATGTTGGCGCGCGGTGCCACAGATTTGGCAATACTCCTATTGGGAGGAGCTCGCCGCCTAACGCCCAACAATCGTCATCAGTGGCCAACAATTGCCATTATTTGTGAAAAGTCAGACCAATTTAGGCAATATAAAACTATATTCATTTGATTGATTAAATTTTAATAATTTGTATATTATGTTAACAGATCAAGTAATGTGGGGGCTTCCACGGGCCGCCAATTAGCATCTCATGGTCTTAAAGTTTTGTTATACCTGGAGGAAGATTCTAACATTGAGCAGAAAAGTATAGAGATTTCTCTCTTCAAGGCCACTGGCAACACAGTAGTTTACTCCGCAAATGGTAACAAAACTTTATATAATTACTATTGCACTAAATGTTATTCGAGGTTTTATTATTGTTTTTAGCACTACCTACTCCTGATCTTGTGATACTATCGACAAATACATCAAATTTGTCAAGTGATGTGAAGAAATGGCTAAGTGAAAACAGGTAAGTTTCTCTAGCCAGAAAATTCTGCCTTTAAATCTGCAAACTAAATAATGTTTCTTTATTTCTTTAAGGGCATCTATTTTAGCCATTGATCCGCCACCAAGTGGCATTCCTGACGTCTCTATTAAATATGCAATTTTACCCATACTACCATTGAATGGCATATCATCGAACAATTGTGGCAAACTGTATTTATGTAACTTGGGAATACCCGATAAGTTTTATCGTGATGCTGGCATTAAGTACAAAAGTCCATTTGGGCACAAATTTGTGATACCTATTCACTCAAAGAACTAAATTTAAATGAGAAAAAGAAGAAATAATTGAGCATATACATATTTACAGTGTGTCAACTACTCATGCAACAATCGTTAATTAAAATTTTTTGTTTGTTTTTCTTTTTTTTTATATTTTATTGTGGCAAATTTACAAACTTAAGAACAACTTTAATTAAAACGTAAGGAGTACATTTTTTTATTTATTTTTACAAATGTACTACTAATTGATTTAACATAATTCATATTTTTACATTGGTACTCGAAAAGAAACAAAATTGTTAACTCTAAAAAAAAAGAAAACTGGATTTTTATAAGATGCCACTAACAAAAATTTTAAGATTTTTCAAAAAATTTCCTTTCGTTTGTTAAACAAAAAAGTCTTTTTTTCAAACAGGAAATGGAATTAAGTTATTTCACAAAATATTTTCCTGCCATTGTATTATTTTACAAAAGTTCTTAAAAGAAAAAACAAATAAAAAAGATTTGATATTAAAACGAGACGAATTTAAGTGTTTTATTTTAAAAGTGGGATTAATATACATATGTATATGTAAATTAATAAATAAAAATATTAATTTATTATGGAAGGAGGTAAGTGATTTGATTAATACAAATTAATTACTAATACTTGATCCCAAAAACCTTTCAATTCATTAAGAATCCTAAACTTACGATAGAGATCAAATAGAAAACAGGAAAAAGATAAACCAAGAGTTTGGAAAAAGACTAAGGTATTCGGTCTTGTTCTGGAAAATATTTTGATTCAGATACCGAAGGTATTATGTCAGAACCTTCACAATAGCCAATCAAAAAAGCTCATTTCCCGCATATTCTTCAGAAGTCCGTTAAAGTGCCCTATTTGAACAGCCTTATATATGTTCCCATGATAGTTCCATAACTTTCCCCATCACTAGGATATCTTCTTCGAAGACACATCATTCCTCTAAACTTTACATAATTTGAAATCTTTAAAATTACTAACTTTCACCCTCAACATTTACTAATTGATACGAATTTTAATGAAAATTGATTTTTCTTATTATTTTTTGTTAATAAGGCTTTTTGTTTTATTTTCAAGTTTTTTGTTGTTTAAATTTTAATTTATACTAAAATTAATCTTAATCATAATTTTTTTAATAAAATATTTTGCGAATAATGCTTATTTGCTTTGACAATATTTCGTTTTTTTTTTTTGTTGTATTTAACGAACAATAATTTTAATTATACATAATAATAATAATAATAATAATTGTAATATTACATAAATATTTACACATATACAATGTATACAACTAACTAACTAAATATGTTTTCTACAATATTATTTATATATAAATAATAAATTTTTTTATGTATAAATGTGGGCGCATTCATGCTTTCTTCATTTGATACATTCATTCATTTATGTATTTATAGTAAAGAGTAGTATAATCAGATTTGGAATTTATTTCTTTTTTTGTTTTATTTATTTTATAAACTTTTAAAATTATTATTATTACTATTACAGTTACAGATATTTACATTTCGTTACAATTTTAAAACTTTTTTTTACTTATAGCGATAAAATATCTTTATTTTTAGTTTCTTAAAATTTTACTATAATGTTTTTTACTAAAATTAATTTGTATTATAACGTTATTATTTTGCTGCAACTTTTTAGAGGACTTTTTACATAAAAGGATTTTGTTTTGTTAATATTATTGTTATTATCCTTGCCTAGTTTTAAGCTACGTAAACAAAAAATACATACATACGTAACAGACTTGCTGCTCTATTCGATAATACATAGAAGAGTAGAGTAGATTGGTGGTCGGTCATACTTAGTACATGGTGTTCAGATGATATACGACCAAGTGGTTCGAAAATATTGCAGTTTTAATCGATGATAACATAATCAAACATCACTAAATTTACTAGTTTACAATTGTATTCATGAACGATCGATCGATCATACATAATGCTTTGATGATAAATTAGGAAATATTTCATCTTTACCTCTCGATATTGAAAGATATTTGCTTATCAGATTGTAGGTAGGTGTTATTGCCAGTACTAAAAGGATTTATTAACTAAAAAACTTGTTTAAGCTTGTGTTAGGAGTGTGATGGAGGGATTGATGGTTGTTTATTCACAATCGACAATAACATTTATATTATGTATTGTTTGAAATGAGAAAGAAAACTTAGTATTGAATAAATAGTTGCTGTCCAATAGCTAATGCATGAGTTGCAAGGGCAAAATTTAACGCAAATACTATATACAGGTTGGTACTTTAGCACACACAATAACCCCCATCAAGATGAGCAAACAAATATCTGTATCCTAAGGAGGAGATCTTTTATCTATATTGTTTTGTAATATTGTACAATTTACCACTTATCATCATCTAACTTCACAGTTCTTTTGCAAGGCCAGTATGCTACTGCTGCCGGTACCACTGTTGCTGTTACTGCTGCTGTTGTTGGGGTTGTTTTGATTGGTTGTTGTGCTGCTGTTTCCAGTGCTAGCTTGACTTTGATGGGTGGCGCTCATTAAAGAGTTTGAATTGGAATTACTAAGACGGCTGTGACTACTGCTCAATGCCGACGAGGACTGACTATTGCTGTTGTCATTGCAATTTCGCGATGCCATAGTGGCAGCGGTTGGCGTAACTGCCAGAGAATGTATTGATTCGGAAATACAAGGTGCCGTTATGTCATTTAATGAGCTGGCTGTGTTTGATGAATCGTGTATATCGTTGCTCTTGCTAGAATCAATCACCAGACAGGGCGAGGGTGTACTTGAGTCTTTGGCTGCATCTGAAACAGTCTCTGCCATTGATGGTGGCTCGGTCACACCAACGTCACCACTCGTGAAATTTGTAAAAGTTGCGGCTGGCGATGTTGTCATGCCAAGATGAGCATTTGCGTCGTCAGCAAACTTTTCCAGATCATTTATAGAGGCAGGTGTTGTCACTGTATTACTGAAACTTGTGTTGGAATTAGCGTTTGTCAAGTCATCGGTATTTGTTGTTGAACTTGACTTTTTGCTCTTTTTACGCTTTTTATCACCAATTACATAGCCGCCACCTTCAGCTACACGTGCCAATTTGAGACGTATGGGTGCAGATGGTCCTTCCGGTGATAGTACCGTGTGGGCGGTTGCCGGTGATGATCGACTTGTGTCTGTAGCCGTCGACTCTGCTTTGCGTTTATTGATTCTTAATATCAGTTTAGGTGGTTCTCCTGGAGATGCACTTGTTGGTTGTTCGATTAGGGTGGTGATCATACTGTTATTTGCTACCGCGTTCGAGCTGAGATTATCTTCAAAATCTTTATTTTTGTGCCGCTTTTTATCTTTCTTCTCTTTTTTAGACTTGGAAGATTTATTTTTCTTCACATGTATTGGTGGATCGGTAAGCGCTTTGGTTGATGTTGAATTAAAGTTAGATGATGAGCGCTTGGTACGCTCATCGTCGTCTCCACCAAATTCTTGCATAACTTGGTCCCGATAATTCATGGAGTCTCTCATCAAGTCCTCTAATGTGGGAGTATAGTTGGAGGTTAAACGCTTCTTTGGCGGGCAGGCAACAGATCGTCGGGCGATCTCGTAATTGTTAAAGCTACTTTCACAACTACCGACAGTGGCAGTAGCGCTGGCATTACCCTCGGCAAGTCCTCGAATTTTGATTTTTAGTTTGGGAGCCGGTTCATCTTCGGCCACCTCAAGAGTCTTACTTCTGCCACGTCGTTTGGTGGCATTTAGAGCTGTATTCATTTTCGCCACACTATTATCCGCACTTCCGGAGGAACAACCACTACGTCTGCGACCATCAGCCCCTAGATTTACTCCCGTCGTATCGTTTATATCTCCTGCCATAATATCTAAAGAGCGTAGCTCACGACTAGAGTTCTTTTTGAAACGTTTGCTGCTCGTTAAGCCAGCAGCTGCAAATTCTGACCCATATTCGTCCACTTCGCTGCAAACACTTTCGGCTTTTCTGGTGGTTTCCGACATAACATTTGAAAGAATATTGGCATCGGTAGGAGGCAAACCACATGACGAATCATCTCCGTGATTGTCCTTCTGCACCACGTACAAACTAAGTAGTTCTTTTTTGCGCATTCTTCTAGAATTGGTGCCACTTCCACTCACCGAAGCACTTATGGTCGCGTTGGTGGAGGCCATGGACTGAACATTACTTATATTTGATTGTACGGATGTGGAGGTGTGTGTAATGGCATTCGAGTTGTTGTAACTGTCTGGGTAAGCTAAAGGTCCCTTAATCTTGAGTTTTAACTGGTTGCGGGAATCGGACAGTGAGGCCTTAGTAGTTAAAGTTGTGTCCGAATCAATAGAAACATCCTCTGAAGTGGTTTCCATTGATGTTTGCAAATCAGTCACCAATTCGGCTGAACTCATTGCAGACGTGATGTTCGTTGTCGAGCAGGTTTTGGTTGTTGCGGATGCGATTATGCTCGTTGACGACGACTGAGTATTTGATATGCCAGCAACCGATGTAGAGGCTATATTCTCTGAATATGTTTGTATAAGACTGTTGGTGGCACTGGCCACCGTATCAACTACATTCGTTGTTCCCATTGAAGAGGTATTTATTGAGGATGACAAGGAAATTTGTAATTGCTTTGTGGTATTTATTGAACTTGCTGTGCCCGTGGCTCTTAAAGCTGATTGGAATTCGCGTTCATCCTCCTCATCGAACTCGGAGAGGGTTTGATCAGCTGTACCCGAATCAAAGGCGCCGAGTAAGTTGTTGTTGTAGGCTTCTTGAGACGCACTGGAATGTTGGGGTTCAAAGCCCAGGTTGTAGGTACGCATGTCAACGGGACCAGGTAACATGGGTTGAACAATAGAATGAAGGTTTGAGGTTGTACTACCTTTTAGGTTATTATTGCAGTTGACTATCGATTCAGTACTTGATGCAGAGGCAGCCGCTGTTACTGATGTTGATCCGGTCGCACTGTGCCGAACTTTACAAGCCCCAGCATTGTAGCTTGTAGGACTGCGGTACTTTAGAGCATCTGAATTTTGTGCATTTCTACAATCGAATGAACGACGTCGATCGCGCAGCGACTGCAGATTCTCCATACCCGGTGCTGCCATTTCTTCTTCGTAACTGAACTCGAAAGGTGTGCCGACCAGGTTGTCTGCACTTACATATTCAGACATGGGAATTGGCAGAGGTATTAAAGCATTGGTAACACTTCCACCTCGATTACGTCCTCGGCCTCTACCACGACCCCGCGTTCCACTTCCTGTACCACGCGGAGCTCTTTGGCGTGGTTTTCCTGCTAAAGTGTGTGTTAAGGGATCGTACTTGGCAGGTTTAGAACTCATATTTGTGAATTCTGTCAGAGAAGTGTGTGCTTGCTGTTGCTGTAGTTGTTTGCTGAGTAATTCCATTTGCCTAGGAGATTTACCCGGAGATTTGTGTTGTGCCACTTGGGGAGATTTGTGTGAACTTCGCAACTGTTGTTGCTGTTGTGTTTGTTGACTATAACGAGACGATGAACGATTAGCCTTCGATGGTGAGTCTTTAGTTGGAGTTGTATGATGAGAGGTCGGCTGAGGAGTCGCCATCATGCTCTCTGCACAACTTCCCAAATGCATGCTGTTGAATGGGGTTCCGGTATTGGCATTATTCGGCGAGGTCAAATTAAACTGATGGGAGGGTCGCATTTGGTGGTGCCGTGGTGAATTGTGGTCGATTAGACTGCCAGACGCGGAAACTCCAACTATTGCTGCCGTTAATGCAATATTATGCGTGGAAGATGTAAATGCTGCACCACTGTAGGGAACCCCCGATGTGTTAGCACTACCAATAGCTGTATTCGAATTGTACTGCTGCTGGTTGCCAGTATTAGAACCGGCATTTACGTTACTACCTATACCCGGTCCAGCGGGATACATTACATTTGCGCCAGTTCCGGAACTGCCATCATTTGATACAAATGGTATTTGATTAATGTTCGGCAAAGCTGAGGCCGCATCATGAAACAAACCAACCGAACCGTTGTACTGTTGCGTTCTAGGTTGTTGCTGTACATTTGATTGTTGTTGCTGAGGTGTTCCTTGGGAAGTTGGCGTTGTTGCTGTTGAGCTGTTATAGTTTGTATTATATATCATCGAATCTATGCCATTTGGCAATGAAGATTGCTGTTGTGTTTGTTGACTTAGTTGATTTTGCGTTTGCATTTGATGCTGTTGGAAGGAAGAGGTTAATGCGAAGTTATTTATGGAATTAAAGAAGGAGTTCTTGTTGATGGCATTGCTATTGCTCGCACTGTTGCTGTTGGGGAGCACATTTGGTGCAATTGTATGTTGTTGCGACTGAACATGGGTATTTTGAAGGGGGATTTGATGTTGAACGGGCGTTTGTTGTTGCTGTGATGGTGGTTGTAAATCAATCGACGGCGTTTGATCATTTGACTCTGACACTGAACTTGGTGATGTTGATCTCCGGGCTGCTATCAAATCATTTTCATTCCAGATACGATTCGCCTGCATAGTGTAGGGAGATTGCATACGAGTGTTTTCATCAAAGTCACAATCGACCACTAATTTATTACTACCAATTGAGGCTGAGGAAGTGAAATCTTTAGAAGCTGCAGCAGCTGCATGCAAATCCACAAAATCAGGCGTTGTGTCTGCTACACGATCATCGGCAACATCATTGGAAGACATATTATTGTTATTGTTTGATTTTGGACCAAACGCATCTATTGTTGGAGTTTTACTCAACGTAGACGTTGCTTGACTCGCCAGTTCGTTTTGTATAAGGGAAGTCAACTCTGCCACATTTGTTTGTTGGGCTGGTGTGTGTGGTTGCTGCTGTTGGGTGTAATTGGAATTAGGCGTTGTACCTTGATGAGGATGGTGAGGCGTTGGTGTGTGTTGTGCAGAATGTTGTTGCATGGGTGAAATTGGTAGTTGCGGTTGTGATTGCATGGATTGGACATTTCCTTCCATATAAGTGGATAATGACAAGGTATTACTCATGCTGCAGATGTTTTCAGCATCTGAAGATGTCCTTAGTGCCTCGGCAGAGCTATTGTGGGACATATTTCCATAGATATCCAGGTTATTATCTTTGTTCGGTACGGTTGTTGTATTTGGCGATGAACTGACTAGCAAATTGTGGTTGTTTGCTGTTTGTGGTGTTGTTTGTGATGGTTGTGCAGTTTCTATGTTATAATGACCAGCACTATTTGCTTCGAGAGATGACATGGCGTTTTCCTTTTGAGCATGGATAATATCTTCCGGATCTGCAGCATTGTGAAAGGGAAATACAGAGGGTATGGCTGGAGTTGGAGGGGGCAACATTAGATCTGGCTCTTTAGATTCGTCTGCGCGACTACGTTTCTTACGAAGTTTCTCCAAGAGATTTCTCGTTGCTTGGAAGCTGTCTTCCTCTGAAATGTCTTTTCTAATATTACTGTCATTCGTTAGAAGACTGCTTAAATTTTCAACCGCATGACTGTCAAATGAAGAAGTATTTAAGAGAACATTGGGGAAATTGTGCATTTGTTGTTGCTGATTTTCTTCCTGTTTCTTCTTGGCATTATCTTCAAGATCAAGTATTGTATCTACAATAGGATGATGGCCACTTTCGAGCACCGAAGTATGTGTGCTAATGGGTAAGGGATCACAGGAAACCTTAGGTGTTGATGGAGAAGTTGTCGGAAGGACTAATGAAGATTGCAGTTTAGTTTCTTGCTCTATCGAATCGATATTCTGCTGATTTTTATTAGATTCTACTTGTGAAGATTTGCCAAAAGACAGCGAAGAGATCTCCAACGACGCCGTATTCAACTCTAGAGCAGTAGGAACATCTATCGACTGTTTTGGTGGAGAAGACACATGTTCTGAATTGGAATTTGAATCAAGATCTATTATTTCCAATGGCTCAGGCGCAATGACTGATACGCCGGGAGACTTAGATTCGGCAAACTTGACTTCCTCAGCTTGATTGGCGGCAGCTGCCAAATCCTTTTTACGTTCTTCTTCTAATGCTCTTACAAGTTCCATTTCATTGAGCAGATGTTGAGTGTGATGTGTGTGTTCTTCTTCTGCCGAGATTGGAGGACTGCCAGGTATGGTTCTTCGAGATTTGATATTATGTGTAGAATCTAGGTTATCATGATCTTCATTACTGGCATTCGATTGATCGTCATTTTCTTCACAACTGGAACTGGAAGAGTGAATTGGAGAAGCGGGCACTAATGCAGGCGGAGGATCAAGATTGTCTAATAAATCATCAGTTTTTAATAAAGAGCTGTTGTGATCACCTGACGGTAAAGTGGTGTGCGTTGGTGCGGTTGTGAGTTCCTCATCGATATCCATGGGAACTTCAGAACATACATCCATACTTACTGAAGTGACTTTGTCTTCAATAAGCGTGGCATTATTACTAGTTCCCATTGACGTTTCCTTAGGTTCCTCCTCTATTGGGTCCATTATTTTGTCATCATTATCAATTCGCTTTTCTTCATTTGTGATGATGTTGTCCTTAACCATTTCTTCCAAATCTCGTGTAATTGCTTCGTTTTTCATTTCAACGCTGACCTCTTTAGGTTCATTGCTAATTCCTCCAGAGATTTGCATAACTGCAGATGTTGGCGTTGTTCTCCCACAATTCGCCTCTTTTTCGGATTCAACACTAGCATCCTTGATTTTGTTTGGTTCATTGCAATCAACCTGTTTTATTTCATTCTTTGGTTTTTCTTCCTCATCTGATAATTTTTTATGTAATGCTATCGCTGTGGATAATGAAGATGAAGACTGAGGCATAGAGGCTGAATTATCTTCAGCTTGGGAATCTGAAGTAGTTTTCATTTCAAGAACCTTTGACGTTGGATCATCGATTAAGGACGATTTCCTACGAGTCTGTATGCTGGATTTGGTTGAACTTTGTTCGTCAGTGTTGGAGGAAGAGTTACTAATATTTCGCTTTAATTGTTTTTGAGAAGGCAACTTAGAAGATATCTTTGTGTCAGTGCTAGAGTTTTGTTGAGAAACCGAAATTTTGGTGTCAAGTGATTTGCGTACATTTTGTTTGGTTGTATCAGTAACAGGTCGTTCCTCAGGCCGTTTTTCTTCAATGTCACTGGCATCTTCATCGTCTGACGAAGAAGTTGTGTAACTACTGCCACTATTGCTAGAACTATCATCACTGCCGTCCGAGGAAGACGAGGAGGAACTGGAATCACTTTCCGAACTGGATGTTATGGAGACTTTACGTTTCTTATCCAATGTCTGTGTAGAACGCTTAGGTGTTGTGTTTACTGTTGTCTGAATTGGTGGTTCGTCTTTTCCACGTTGTCTGCTACTAGTTGGCGTCTTCTTGGTAGTCAATGTTGCAACAGGAGCATCTTGCTTGCTGGCTGAATTTGAGGTAGACTCTCTCGTAGACATACGACGTGTTGGTGCTGCTCTAACACTTCGATCTTCAGGTGTTTTTAGTTTTGCTTCCTTATCAATGCTGCTGTTAACACGTTCTTTGTCATCCGTAATTATTGGTGCTGGTGCCGCCTCTAGAATGGCTTGTGGTGTTTTGTTGCTGTTCTTTAGCTGTTCAGCTGCTTTCTTTGCGGCTTGCCTTTGTGGGACAACATATGACACAAGTATGTTATTTTTAGCAACCTCATTCGATTTTAAAGAATCGACATTGGACGAAGACTTGCTTTGTGCCGACTTTTCTTCACACATTTGCGCAGAAGATGTTGAGGATGAGGACTTTTTAGTTTCTTGATCAACTGATGTTTGAGGTTCTTTAGCACGACTTAGACCAGCAGTTTGTTCTGAAGTTGTGGTTGAGGGTGTTTGACTAGGCTCGGCAGCGTCTTTTAAATTCTTTGGGGGACGTCCACGTTTGTTGACACTTGGCTTCTCAATTTGTTGATCGTTAGTTTTAGCTGTACTTTTCTTTTCTAGTTTTTCGTCGGACTTAAGACTGACATTTTCCTTTTGTTTTGAAGCTTCGCGATGTTTCACCTCAAAATCACGTTGCAATGTTCCTGAATTCGAAGTATTGCCGAAAGAAGATGACGAACCAATGCCCGTTAATAAATTGGAATTAGTTGATCTCATATTTTCTGAGGCCTTCTTAGCTGCTTGTCGTTGCGGTACTACTAACAAATCAGAACTTAACTTTTGGGGTTTCTGCTTAACAAGGTCATTTGAAGTTTTATGTGAGTTAGATTGGATCTCATTTAGTTTCTCCAAGTTCCCACTGTTGGATAGATCCTTTTGCGTTTTGCTGCACGTTTGCTGTTGTAGAGTAAACTCTTTCATCGCTGCTTTAGTTCTTATGGTTTGTTGATTCTGCGAATCGCTGACATTACTCTCGGTTGCACGTTCTTCTTTTTCTTTGTTGTCCAACTCCGAAGAACTATCAGAATCTGAGTAAATTTGTTCGATTAATTTCCGATTTACTGAGGATTCGGTTACTTTCTTTCTCGTTAAATAATCCTTGCTTCCTGAATCCATTGACTTAGTTAACTGTTTTCTAGATTTCTTTGGTGTTACTTCAATACTTTCATCACTGGATGAGCTTGAGTTTTCTTTCGCTAGTGAAGTCTTGTTAGTATCCGTTTGAGATAAAAGTAAGTTGGATGTGTTCTGCGATGTTGTCGGTTTGGTAACACCAGCTTCAGTCTCAGACGTAGTATTACTGGATTGCTTGACAGGTACTGAAACTTTTTGTTTCTTATTCTTATTGGTTTCTGCTTCAATCTCGCTGGAACTGGAAAGCACAGTGGTAACATCAACTTTGGAAAAGTCTTTGGTAGACTTTGTTGAAGGAGTTTTGGCTTCCGTCTCCGCTTTGGACTGCGTGGTACTCTTCCTTCTTTGTTTTGCCGCCACTTCGATAGATCTTGAAGCAGTTTTCTTCTTTGAAGGACTCATTTTTTTGAGAGATTTATTCGCTCTGGCCGAAGTAACTTTGCTGACACTCAAAGATGACGATTCAGAGTCGGATGAACTGGATCCACTTTCTGATTCAGAGCTGGAACCGCTTCCAGAACTGGAGCCATTATCCGAAGAAGAATCCTCATCATCTGAAGACGAACTGCCCGAAGACGATGAACTGTCATCAGAACTGTTTGATGCATTTTTTGTTGTTTTCGAGGACGGTGTCGTCGTCGCAGTTTTTGAAGACGATGACGTGCGAACCGTACTAGTGCGTTGTCCTGAAGTCGGCGTTGTGAGTGTGGATGGTGTCGCAGACGAAGTAGAACGTCTATTGGAGCTTTTCTTTGCCACCTGCTTTTCCACAGACTCGTTTGTTGCCGAAATCGTGGTAGATGCCTTACTTGTCATAACACCGCCATTATTAACTTTTTTGTTTGCAGATGTTGATGCTTTACCAGCCGAGTGACTCGTACTATTCGCCGAAGTAGTTGCTGAGTTCGTGGACGCAGATGTCTTAGTAGTAGAACGTTTTGTGGGTGACGTTGAAGCTCTAGAACCTTTTGTGCCAGATTTTGGTCCGCTTTTGGCACTACCCAGGAGTTTCTCCAAAATATACTCTAAACTTTGGTACTGTGTGGGTGCATTTTTGTCGCACGACGAATAAAAGTGATCGTATAATGTCGGACCATCGTTGGCGTAAATCACTGCGTTTTTGAATTGTTCATCGCATTTTTCGTTCGTTTCACTCGATTGCGTAGTAGCATCGGTAAGCACGGATATTTGCTTATAAAATACCTGCTCTCGTAGTTTAAAAAGAGAACGAGAAAGTTTTTCTCTTCTGCTAACCATGTAACAAAGATTTCTAACCCTTTCGAGGTCTTGCCTTAGATGAACTACCAACTTGTGATTTTCGAGATCTTGCTGCTCTTGCTTACGAGCTATCATTTCAACATCCTCCGATTTGGGAGGAATAAGTGCACGATTATTCCTCGATTTTCGTTTTAGCTTCCAATAATTGTAAATGGCCTCAACGGCATCGTCATCGACATCAAAAAGGTGACAACTTATGTCTTTAATATTTACATGTTTATCAAATTCTGATTCGACTTCCTATTGTTTTAACGTTGTTGTTGTTTTTTTTTTTTTTTTTTTTTTGAAATTAAATACAAAATTAGCAGTGGAACGTTTTTGTGTAATTAACTTAAACTTACCTGCAAACGACGTGCCCGAACCTGATTACGTTCCTCAGAGGTCATATCGGATTTTCGACTCTTTCGCCTTCGACAGTCATCATCTTCAGTGCCAGATCCAATTCCCGCAGGCAATCTATTTTTACAACTGGTACTACTAACCCCCTTGCTATTCGCCTCTTTCTTTCCTTTGCTTACGCTGTGTTTATGACAATACGATCGTAGTTTAACGCCATCTTCGGCATTTCCCTCTTCAATTATTGCGCGCATTTCTAGACCATGTTGAAAAGCACACGTAACGTGATATGCTGTTTTGCATGTTTTTACCGAACACTGTATGCAAGCGCCATCTCGGCCGCGACATAGAACACATAACAAAGCCCACCGACTTGTTGGAATGCTTGAAATTTTTGTAATTGGTTCCATGCGGTCAACACATCCAATACTGACTTCCGGTATCCACAGTGCACACGAAACATGCGCCCAATGTTTGCCTGATTTGGTTGATTTCATTGCACCACCTTTGTTCGGACACAAAACACAGTCTGGTTTGATGCCCATAGAACATGTTCGACAAAGCCATTGACCTGCAAATAAAATTAAAATTATTTTTTTGTTTATATTATTCTATATTTTATGAAAAAATGGTATTTAGGAAACATATTTTTAACAAAGCTTTAGAAGTCTTCAAGTATTTGTTAAAATATTGACTAAAACCTACAGCATTCTGAGTGTGATTTTTTCCAAAACATTATTTAGTATAATTACCTGATGGAATAGCTGTAATACCATAACACGCCTGATGTACACATATATTGCAATTATCACAGAAAACCATTTCGTTAGCTTCCTCCGAATCAGGCGAACGACATACGTCACATATGACATTTTCATCATATTCGATACCGAGGCCCTCTTCATTTTTCAAAATGACCTGAATTTGCTCCCAGCAACGTATCTGTTAAAAAGAGAATATAATTTTTAGTTTAGAATGAACCAGAGATAATTGCCATGAGATTAGCTTACTTCTAATTCTTCGATTACTCTCTCAAACTGAGTTTCGCTGATGGAAAAAGCCCCATACTGTTTGCGATCAGTATTGTAAAGTTTTAACCATGCTGCATCAACTTGATCGATATCGTAAGCGCAGGAGTTTTCGGCTAGAGCAACTACATTTGTCAGACAATGTAACTCGGGAGAGTAGTTCTCGTCTTTAGTTATGCGCAGGAAGCGATTTTTTGGACTGTAAATATGTAATTTATATTTTGTATTAGATCTTGTCGTTCTTAATTAATTAGGAGAATATTTATAACTTACAGTTTAAAATCATGAGCAGGTGGCACTATGGGTTCTGTTAGCACTTCAACATATGGCTCGGGAAGTGAATCCGGATTTACTGGCACTTGAACACCTCGTTCCCATTCTTGTTTCCATTGATCGTTTACAACGAGGTATTCATAGTTAGCTAATTGTTCAGAATCTGGCAATTTCATCGCACTTATGAGATCCTTACTATAATATTGAGGGAATGGACAGAAACAAAAATTGTGGTAAATAATACAAGTCGACTCGTGAAAAGTTTAGTTCAGTTTACCGATAGAGTTCAGCTGGAGCTTCCGTCGAGCTTCGATTGTAAATGCTAGACATTTTTATGTCTGAAACAGATCGTGCCTGCCACGTTGCAACAGATGAAGATGAACCTTGACTACCCGCCGCCTTTGCACTAGTAGAACTGATAATTTCGTCGCCAGCCACTACGGTGGCGTGTTGATTGGGTTCAAGGTCAACTGATGTTGCACTGCTTGTTATTATGGGTCTAACACAATTGACATTTACATGTTGATTGCCGGGATAATTTATATTAGTGCCGGGACCACCGCCGCTACCTCCGCCTCCACCAAGTCCACCGCCCAACCCGCCGCCGCCACCATTGGGAGGTCGACCTTTACGTCGTTTCGTGGGAGGTGGTTGCGGTTCAACATCAAGTCGTGGATGGTGTAAATGGTTACCGCGTTTACCTCTTTGTGACATGTTTTGTGCAGGATAAACGAAAGCAAACACATGTATTTATTTCGTTGTCAAATTTATTAGACACTACTAATATTATTATTTTTATATATTGTGTTTTTTGCAGTCACCAACGTATGTGTTGTTCTTCTTTATATGTTCCTTTTTTTGCTTTATGCTTATTGACTGACTGACTGCCTGTCTGTATGTTTTACTGTCTGTAGGTATGTGTGTACTTGTTATGTCTTTGTATAATTATTAATCTTTCTACTTGTTGTTTATTTATTTATTTGTTAGTTAGTTTGTTGTAACTGTAATCGGAGTTACTTTTATAATGAGTATTCTATTCTATTTTCAAAAGTCCATTAAATAGTTTGGTATAGTATTGATTGTTGTTGTTGTCTGCTTTATACATGTTGTAATGATTATTATGCAGCGGGAATTTCTGGGTTTTGCATTAAAATCAATTTTTCTTCTTCAAATATGATTTTATTAGAACTTTTATTTGTTAATAACTCTTTTCCTGGGATTCTACGTTTTCTGGACGTTATTCTTGCTAATCAGTTGCAGTAGAGTTGTAAGTAACTAAAAGGTGGTTGTTTCCATTGGTTGGTGTGCAGTAAACACACTTGTGCGCAAAGGCGTGTGCTTCTTGAATTATTATTTTATAGTTTTGATGATACTTCTTAATTTTCAATGTTTTTTTTCTGCTTTCGCTTGAAAATATTGCCATTTAATAATATTTTAACACTTAATTTATTATTTAATTACTACGTTTTATGTATTCTTAATAATAATAATAATGATTTCCTTATGCACAATTTTATCATAAATGTATAGTTTTTTTTATTTCAAACATTGTTTGAACACTTTCTATTCTATTGTTTTTGCAGTTTTACTGTGTTTGTGTTTTTTCACTTCTTCGATTCTTTTGCTTTGCAATTTCCGCCTTCTTCTTGTTTTGCACTTAAATTCGTTCGTTTAGTTCCACAAATAATTTTGTGTGTATTTTTTATATGATGATGATGATTTTAATTAATTGAACGCACCATAATATAAACTTTTCATATTATTTATTTTTTTATTCACATTGCGTTTTATTTTTAATTTATATTGCTTAAGGCAAATTTATTTTTTGTTTTCAATTTATCCTTAGACTCTGTAAAAATGTGAAAATTTCTGATAAATATTATAAGAAGAGCAAAAAAATCTGAGTTATTTCGTTTTCATGATTCTTCTTCTACCTTTTTTCGCCACAATTCACATTAACTTGTAAAGAAAGAAGAAGAAGAAATTAGTAGAATACATACGATTTTAGCAATTATTAATACTTAAACTACTAAATAAGTTAGTAATTTGCATATGTTTTGCATGATTTATTATTTCTTTTTCTTTTTTCTTGCAATTTTTACAAACATTTACTATTTTACGCTGTTTTATTTGTTATATTAAGTAAATTTTTCTATTTTTTTTCCTTAAATTTTTCTTCGCCGCACATTTGTCTAATTGTCATTGTTGCTGATAGATGTCTCTTATGAAAGTCAAGTCTCAAACCCCAATGAATTATTTACTCTTGTTTATTACAATATATTAACCCATTTAAAAAATCTAAAATTTTGCATCTTTGAGATATTTTTGTTTTTTTTTTTCGTTTTATATACAAATTAAACTTAAACCACAGACTTTAAAAGAAAAAAAAGCTTTTATAAATAAATCAACAAATAATATTGTATTGACATTTATTTTCCCTCGTTTTTTGATTTTATTAAATCTCAGTTAGTCATGTAAACAAACCGAAATGCTTTGCCAAATTTGTTATAATTTTGTTTTTAGCAACAATTTAACATTTATTTGGTTGATTAAACTTTATAGTTGGATTATTTATTAGATTCATATTTAGTAAATGTAATATATACATTTACAATTTTTTGTGGGGATATTATTTTGTTGCTTGTCTTGTCCAATTTTTCATTTCATCAGTCATTCAAGTCGCAACTGCGAGGAGCCATCAATTTTTCATTCATTTTTCTTCTTTTACATACACTCACTCACTACTCAAGACGAACAACGAAGAAACGATAGTTGAAAACACACACTCATTCTCCCTTTCCACTTCTTTATATCTTTTCTTTTTTTCGTTTTTTGCTTTTTTCACATAAGATATTTGTATTATATACAAATAATTTATATTAATTTATTAAAAACTCTAGTAATATCCTTGCACTATGTTTTATTATATATTTCTCATAATTAGTATTACACGTTTTTTAGTTTCAGTTTATTGCAAACTTTTTTATTATGTGGTTTCTTTTCAGTTTTATTCGACGTTTCTTTTTTCCTACCGAAAATTTTACCACGAAAGAATGAAAATTTTGCCGCCGTAATATTTCTGTATTTTAGTTAATAGTTATGATTTTTCAACGTTTCTTTATCATTAACACTCTTAAATATTTCGTTTTTTATTGGTTTTTACACGAAAAAGTTATTAATTTTCACATAAATACACTTTTTCTTGTTTAATATTTACAAGACGTCTTTGCCTTCGTCGCCATTTTTTTTGACTCCATTTTGATTTCGCCGCAATGTTATTTCGCCTTTATTGAAAAACAGGGTTGTTTAACATTGAGTAAATTGTGAATTGTTATTATTATTGTGAATTTATTTATTGTTATTGGTTTTAATATGAATTATTGTGTTTTTTGTGGAAGGAACGAAGACTGATAAATGTAAAAATGATTTCTTATATTAAAAGCAATTTTGATTAAATTTCGAATAATATTAAAAAAGTATTATTGTTGCAATAAAAAAAAATATTTGTTCGACTTTTTCAATAAAATGGAAAAATTCTGTGTTGCCACATTTTTAATTTATCTATGGAGATTTTTTGCGAAGTCGTTAGTAGTAGGGTTCTATAAATCGACTTTCGAACCATCGACTTTTTGTCGAAAAAAATCGAAAAGTCGAAGTCGGCTATTTTGTTCCAAAAAGGTCGATAACTCGACGAAAGTCTGAAAGTCGATAAAAATTCGGAAAAAGTCGGAAAAAGTCGAAAAAAGTCGGAAAAAGTCGAAAACTCGAAAATTGTAGAAAAAAGTCAAAAATAGTCGAAAATGTTAAAAAAGTGGAAAAAAAGTCAAAAACTCTAAAATAGTCGAAAAATAGTCAAAAAGTCAAATAAATCGAAAAAAGTTGAAAAGTCGACTATTTATAAAATAATTCCAAATAAGTCGAAAAGTCTAAAACTCGACTTTTAATTAAATGAAAAAAGTCGAAAAATCGACTTTTCATTATTTTATAAATAGTAGTATTTTATAAATAGTCGACTTTTCGACTTTTTTGCCTTTTCGATTTTTTTCGACTTTTTGACTATTTTCGACTATTTTTTGACTTTTTTCGAGTTTTCCGACTGTTCTAGAGTTTTTGACTTTTTTCCACTTTTTTAAAATTTTCGACTATTTTTTGACTTTTCTACTATTTTCGAGTTTTTAACTTTTTTCGACTTTTTACGACTTTCCGACTATTTTCGACATTTATTTACAAAGTCGACTTTTCGACTTTTTTCACAGACGATAGTCGAGTTATCGACTTTTTTGGAACAAAATAGTCGACTTCGACTTTTCGACTTTTTTCGACAAAAAGTCGATCGTTCGATTATTCGAAAGTCGATTTAACAATCGATATTTTGAAAAAAGTCTAAGTCAACTATTTTGTTTAAAAAAGTCGGTAGGTAAGTCGACTATATTATATAAAAAACGTCGGAAACTGTCGAGATATGATATTTTTGACACACACATTGAAAAAGAAGTTGAAAAGTTGGTATTAGAGTTTGAAAAAATTGTAAAATGTCAAAAAAAAACTACTTATTGTAAATTGAAAAATGGCGTAAAGTACAATTTTCATTAATTACAAAACGTCGAGTTTTTCTTAAACTATACGGTTTTTATAAATCAACTGTCAAACAATCGACTTTATGTCGAAAAAAAATTCAAAAATTCAAAGTTGACCACTTTGTACCAACAAAGCAGAAGATATTGTTGGAAAATTGTAAAATAATCGATTTTGTAGATAAAATTCGAAATAAATCTGAATAAATTGAAAAAAGTCGATGAATTACAAAAAATTCGAAAGTCGACTTAATAAATTGCGAAAAGTCAATTTTTTGTGGTAAAACTAAAGTTTTATTCAAAAAATAAAATTTTATTTTATCGCTATTTTTTTCAAATAAGTCTTCACACCTTGGAAACTAAAAAAATCTTAATTTGTTTATATATTTATAACATTATTAAAAAATTAACCATTTTTAAAGGCATTCTCAGATTTAATTTCGATAATTAATTCTTAAAACTTTTTAGTCGAATGAATTCCTTGATAAAGCTTTAATTTAATTCTGAAGGATAAAATTTGGTTTAAATTAAACAAATTGAAAATATTTTTCAACTATTTCCACAGAATTACAAATTCCTTCTGAACGATGAAAAAAGTCTATATATCTTCTATATAAACTATAACAAACTAAATTAACGGGTTTCCAACCTTTAGTTAATTTAAAAAAATATGTTTTTGCTTTAATAATTTGCATATGTATTTATTATTTCGTAACATTCAAAAAAACTCTATAGCCAAATATATCTTTTACAAAGATATACCGGTATTCTCTTGAATCCAATCCAAATAACTGGTGACGCGTACAAAACCAGCAGGAGCACCCGATTCACAGCCAGCCGTTGAAACAAATGAAGTAACACCAACTAGAGTTTTAGATGAAGCCAAAACCAATGGACCGCCAGAGTCACCACTGCAGGTTGAAGTTCCTTTGGGAGTAGCAGTGCAAATGGTCTTGGCTCTGATAACAAGAGATCCGTAAGTCTGGGCACAAACTGAATTTTCAATAATCTGTAAAGTGGCATATTGCAATTTAGAGGCCACAGCAGTAGCAGAGTCAGAAACTAAACCCCAACCGGAAGCGATAGCATTTTGGCCAGCATAAGTAGAGTAGGAGGAGGAGACAGCAGGCAAAGCAACTTTGTTGATATAGTTGGTGAAACTAACCGAGGGTATACGAATCAAAGATATATCATTGCTCAATACTAATGAATTATAGCTCTTGTGTTGAACAAAATTGCTGTTGGATACAGTGTAGGTGACCTTGGGACTAGTACGTACAGTGGCTCCCAAATAAACAGTGGCTGCAGAGGCGCTATATATAGAATATATTTATGAATAAGGATTACATATTGTACACTTTATTATTTTTTATTTACTCACCCATTAGTACAGTGAGCAGCTGTCAACACCCAACTGTTGTCGATTAAAGAACCACCACACCACCAGCCGCCATTTGAACTGGAGAAACTCAAACCTACTTGATAGGGAAATTGTCCTTCAGCGGCATTTTGGCCATTAGTAATACGTCCCTCTACATTTACAGCAACTGGCAATTGTCGGGGCTGGATAATTGTGTTTTCAGGCAGGATGTTGCCTGCGGAAACCACAGCTATCGTTAAAGCGATTATAAAGAAAATTTGCATTGTGTTTTATTCCACTTTAAACACTGATTGTTAGCCACTTAATAGTTGTTTGCCATTTATATACTTGTTTTCTTTATTTGTTATCGGACATTATTAAATATTTTGATTTATGATTTATTTTGATATAGTTATTAAGTGTTATTTATGGGTGTATGGATGGGGTAATTTTAAGAAGTATATGTGTCACTTTGATAGGGGCACACTTCTTAATATAAACTTTCTTTTCTTTTAAATCAAATGCACGCCATATAAAAAATCGGTTTTACCCTTAACATATAGTATTTGGTCTCTCTTATTTATTTATAACTAAGTATCAATAAAAATTAATAAAAAAAACGTAATTTAATGTTTTTAGCCAAACAAACCGAAATCCAGTTTTGTAAGATATTCCATATAGGGCTCTTGTTATTGTTTTGAATTTTCTCAAGAAATAATCCTTAATCACTTTTTAATCAATTGCATCTTAATCCTTTAGAAAAGTTTACTATGGTCTCTGGGTTTAAATTTTTTTCAAAGTTTGTTGGTCTGAGTTGTCTTTTAAAGAGCCGTCAATTCTTCTAAATAATCATTTAATTCTGAGAAGTATTAATTAATGCCTTTGAAATGTTAAATTTGAGTTGAGGTAGCCATTTATGTCTGTCTGTATGTATGTTGAAATCAGTGTTTAGAAGACCGTAAAGATCTGCGCAAAATAGTTCTATAAATAACGTTGATATGACCAACATTCCCATTCAACCCATTAGAATATTGTTCTTTCTTACTCTTTATTAGTTTTAGAAACTATAGCAGCTATTTTAAAAAACTTTATCAGAAGTCTTTATTGTTAATAACCTTCTAGAATATCGGTACAACCACTTATAAATCTAATGTCAGAAATCGTACTTACATCGGTCCATAATTGACCATAGCTTTAATATAAGGCCCACTTCCGAAAATCAGTTAAATGAATATAATAATAACAAATAACCAGATTGGGACAAAATTTATTATGTACAAATAGAAATTATTCAGCAAATTTTTTTCCGGATCGACCCTTAATAGCTTCCACATACATATTTATACATACATGTAAGTCCGAAAATCACTCAATTGTAAATAACTCATTAATTAATAATTATATCATATATGTATATCATAATATATTAACTCGAATGTGGCCTTTTATATAAATATACATACAAATAATTCTGTAAAAATTTCCCTGATCGGACCATATAAAGAAAGCCCTTAATTATGATATCGTTATAAAAATTCTCTCGAAAATGTTATGTGTGTATTCAAATTATTCCGCGAAATTCTTTTCCGGGTCGGTCCATAGTTGATCATATAACGCATACTTCCACTTCCGAAAATCACTTAGTCGTAAATAACTCATGAATTAATAAACATATTGGTATAAAATTCTACTCAAATACATTTGTATGTTTTGCATATATTACCGGATAAGTCCATTATTTGTTTACCATTTTAACTTTCAAAATAAATGAAATCTAAACTTCTATAAATTATCGAAGAGTTAATAAAGAACTAGTTTATAGGTGAATATTGCACTCTAACTTATTCAAATTGAATTAAATTTTATTCGTTCAATTTGAGTTAGTTTGGGATTTAATTCAATCAGATTATGACTTTAAACAATTAATTTGAAATATTAAGTTATGAATTGAAATCCAAATTTTGAAAATAATGTAATTAATTTACTCTATAGATTCCAGAAATTATTGTTAAAATTCAAGTTATGCTCTAAAATATTAGTTTATTGACATGAAAAACACTTGATTCGTCTATAAGTTTATTTAAAATAATTTAATTTTTTAAATTAAACTAAATATGTTTGAATTTCAAACATAATACTTAGTAAGCAATTCCGGTGTTGGCTTTGATCCAGTCCAAGTAACCGGTTACACGAATAAATCCAGATGGTCTTCCAGCTTGGCAGCCGGAAGACGAAACAAACGATGTAACACCAATAAGTAGCTGAGAAGATTCCAGAGCTAATGGACCGCCAGAATCACCTTGGCAAGTGGAAGTACCGCCGGGAGTCGAAACACAAATAGTTTTGCTAGTAACAACCGAATTGCCATAAGTAGCAGCACACACAGTATTGCTAATAACTTGAAGGCGGGCAAAGTTCAAGGAGGAAACAACTGAACCAGCTGTAAAATTAAAAAATAGTTTTGAGCATCCCAATCAATGCCAATTAAAAATAAATTAAAACTTACTATCCACAGCACGTCCCCAACCGGAAGCAATGGCATAATCACCAGCATAAGTTGAATAGGAGCTAGAAATTGCCGGTAATCTAATGGCTTTAATTTCAGCGGTATAGCTAACAGCAGGAATTTTGATTAAAGATATATCATTGGCCAAAGTATTGGAGTTATAACCGGTATGTTGATAAATGGAACTGGACGTAACAGTGTGGCTAACTTTGGCCACTGTACGAACAGTGCTACCCAAATAAACAGTGGCCGAAATAACACCATCTGTGCAGTGAGCAGCAGTCAATACCCATTGATTGCCAATTAAAGAACCGCCGCACCAAAATGAACCACTACTTCTTTTCAAAGATAAGCCAGCTTGATAGGGAAACTGGCCGACAGCAGCCGCATTACCATTAGTAATACGACCCTCAATAACATTAACGTCTGCTACGTCTTCTAAAAAGGCGGGAATTTCGGGTATAGATGCAGCCGAGACGCAAGCTAACGCTAATGCTAACACTACAAAGACTTTCATGGTTTCAATACCAATAGCTCCTATTCAACTGACCATTGTTCTGAAATTTAGTCGTGCTTTTATATCATCGGAAATTATTATTTTTTTTTTAATTGTAATTTATTTTCGTCTGGTTTGTTTTAATAATAATATAGGATATCGGTCGGAAATCTTCATACAATCCTTATCAGTTGGTTTCTTATAATTTAAAAATAATCATGACTCTTGAAATAAATATTCCAAATCCATGTTAATACATTTTTATTTATTAGCGAATATTATTATTTAGTAAATACTTAAATTAATGATAAGAAAGAAAAAAATAAATGGGAAATACATTTGTTTTTATTTTTATAGTCCATAGAACGTTATTTCGATTTGGAGATACTAAATAGCCAATTATTGGTAATAAAAATTGTGATTTAAAGAAATGTATATACATACAGTAGTTTTCCGATTTAACGAACCCATATGTTGTCAGGCCTGTTCGTAAAATTGAAAAGTTCGTTATATGCAGTACTAACTAAAACGTGGGTTTTTGGTAGGAAAATAATTAAAAATAGGTACATAAAATATTTTTTAAATGTATTTTATAAAAATTAATTCTTTTTTTTTTAAATAGCACAAAACACAAAATTCCGAATCTTATATACCCACCTTCAAACCATATTTGTGTCGAATTTAATCGCTGTATTTTAAATTCAGTCATGAGCTTTAAAGTTATTTCTCGAAGTACATCGCTATACTCGTATTTTTAAGCGAGTAATGAGCGTTGAAGAAATTTTCTTAAGGGGGCCTGATATGGAGGGTAAGGTCAATTATGGACCGATTCCCATAAAATTTGTTAGAGATTTCGGTTAGTATAGAACATGTTTGTATCGAATTTCATCGGCGTACTCGTATTGTTAAGCGAGTATTGAGTTAAAGTCATTATCTGAAGGACGGACATAGCTACATCGAACTAAAATTTAATAAGAACCCAGAATGTGTTACAGTTTTGGGTATAAAAGCACCGCTTAAAACAACGGTATAGTTTTTTGCTACAACTTAGGTTATTTGTTATTTTTGATAAATGTCATTTTATCTTCATTTAAATAATAATATTTTTATTAGTTCGTTAAACAGAGTACAAAAAACAAGTTTTGTTCGTTATTTAAGGTAGTCAATAGGAAAAATTAGCTTGTTCGTTAAATGCGATGTTCGTAGAATTGAATGGTCGTTAAATCGGAAAACTACTGTATGTACATATTTTTAATTTATATTTAAATAACACTGATCGGCAAAAAATTTCCTACTTTGGATTTTAATCGATAATTGTGATAGTGGTTTTAAAATATTTCTAACACGTAGAACTTTTACGCAATATCCATTATAAATCATCTGAACTTGGACCGCGATGAAATTAGGTTTCTTCAGAATTCAAATCTTGAATAATTTATCAAAATATAACAAAATTCACCTTCATGAGAAGGGCATATGTATAAGCTTGCCATTCCGTTTGTAATTTTAACTTTACAAACGGAATTGTTAATTCTTTCTATATGAAATGTTTATAAGTCGAGATATTGTTATAAAAAATGTAACTGTATAAAAGTGTACAACACTAGTTAATAATGTTTGTTACTATTAAAACTAAAATTTAATAAATTAACTTTTTAAAATTGAACATCTGGCAATTGTATACAACTTATCAAATTCACAAACCAGTAAATAAAAAAAATATAATAACTTCCCATAGATGGTAGTACTGTTAACTATAGATACTGTAACCATAGTTGCCAGATGATTTGGGTGCAAAATCGTCAAATTTAGAGTTAAAATCAAATCGTCAATAGGTAATTTTTTACACTGATCTGGCAACAGTGATTATAACAAGGTATAAACGGGTAAGTGATATTTGGTAGGATATTGGAAATAAATTAAACTAAATAATTTTGGAATGTTTTGTATGTCTTCGAAAAAATAGGTGTACAGCGCTTAGAATTAAAACAAACAATTTTAAACGATCGGTTATAATTATTTATTTTTTGTTTACTTTAACAAAAATATACATAGTATATTTAAATAACGTTTTAATTTTTAACAGATTATTTAATATGAAATGCCTGTGTGGTAAGCGATCCAATCCAAGTAACTAGTTACACGCACAAAGCCAGCTGGATAGCCAATCTGGCAACCAACTAATGAACCAAACGAAGTCACACCAATAAGTTCTTGTGTAGAGTCCAAGACCAAGGGACCACCAGAATTACCTTTGCAAGTCGATGTGCCTCTAGGAGTCGAAACACAAAGTGTATTGCTAGTAATCATTGAGCCAAAAGTTTTGGCACACTCGGCATTAGTAATAATGGGCAGATAAGCGTAATTTAAAACAGAAACAACAAAACCATCTAAAAAGATAACACACCTAGTATAAGCAAAATTTTTATATGTATGAGAAAGTAAAACTTACTGTCTTGAGCAAGTCCCCAACCGGAGGCGGTACCATAAGTACCAGCATAAGATTGATATGATTCAGATATAGCCGGTAGTCGAATAGGTTGAATTTCATCACTGTAGGTAACTTCGGGAATTCTGATCAATGCTATATCATTAGCAAAAGTTGTGGGATTATAGCCGTTATGTTGTATAATTGAACTATAGTCAATATTAAATGTGACTTGGGCCACTGTGCGTACTGTGCTCCCCAAATATACGGTAGCAGACAATACACGATCAGTGCAGTGAGCTGCAGTCAACACCCATGATTTGCCAATTAAAGAACCACCACACCAAGAAAAACCATAACCTCTATTAAGTGATAAACCCACTTGGTAAGGTATTAAACCGGGATATGCTTCATAGCCATTCGTAATGCGACTTTCAAGATCTTTAGCACCTTTCACATCTTTAGAAGCAACAGGAGTTCCGGCTAGGGAGGCGGCCGAAACGCAAGCAAAAGCTAATGCTAGCACTACTAAGACTTTCATGCTGCTATTAGTTAATATATAATTTGTAACTGACTGATATATAATTTGTAACTAAAATACGTTGTGCTTTTATATCGTCACATTCGTATATTATAAAACTTAGGAAATCTTGATAAATTCGTTATCAAATATATAGTTTTTGTGATAATACAATCAGAATGCCTATTTTTAAAATTAACATAAATTACCGATTAGGTTATTAATAAACTTTAAGATTTAATTTCGATTAAATTGTTGTTAATTTTCTATTATATTTTAATTACACTGTGTTGCGAAATAAATACATAACACATCAGGTGATTTAGTTCAGGTTAAAGTTTTAAAGATTTATATCGAAAAATTTATAAAGAATTGAACTGAATTCCGTTGGCTGTTGGCCATACAATTTGTCATTATGTATCTAAAAGAAAAGTATTGAGCAGCGCTGAATCCAAATCTGGTCTCAGAATTTCTGTAAACTTTTTGATTGAAAATTATAACAATCGATTTGAAATTTCATAAAGCTCCCATACAAATTTACATACTCCCGGAAAATAGATTTATTGTCAATAACTTCGTCTAGTATATCGGTATTATCAAAAAAGTTTGCACATAATTATAAATCTAAGATGGATAGAAATCGTATTACAAACTATAACATGGATTGGTCTATAATGACCATAGCTTTCATATAAAGTCCACTTCCGATTAATAATGATATCAGGATAAAGTTCGTCTCGAATATATTTTGTATACTATGTATGTCTTATACTGAAGTCTTATACTGAAAAACACTTAGAGCGGGTTTTTGAGATGGTAATAAAATGCCTATTAATAATCAGATTAGTTAATCTAAAAATAAATTTAATCTTATGTTAATCCCCTTTGATGTTTTTGAGTACAAGATTAAACTTCGCAGTGTTGCCATACAAAACAACAGAAAACTTCACTGTTTGTTATCAAAACAATGCATATTTTATAAAAAAGAAGAAGACAATAGTAAATTTAATATGAAAATTAATGAAAACTTAAATTAAAAACAAAAAATGTATTTTGAAGTGTCCATAATTTATACTAATCAATAAATAGAACATTTTAATGTTTATATTTATAAAAATTTTATTAATTTTTTTGCATCAGCTGTTTACACTTTTGCATTTCGTGCTTAAGATTAAACCACCTCCGTTGGGCGCTTAAACTTGCAAACAAAATTAACTAATTGAGTACTCAAAAACATCTTTCGAGGATTAATTTTAATTTAATCGCTAATCTTTCACCTAAAGATTGGCCCTTAATCGTAAATAGCTTAATTACTTAATTATGATATCAGTATAAGAATATTATCAGAATATTGAAGATTATCGCACGAATATGTTTTTCTACAAAATTATCTGGCAGCACCGTATATGAGTGCGCCAATGTCTGATATGGAAGTACTATTAGCGTCTAACGGTCTAATGATTAGGTTAAAACTAACCAATAAAATAGAGATAATTTTGAAATGTTCATATTACGAACATTAATCGTTTCTTTTTTTGGCAATATGTGTAGTTCTCAACGCATTTAACAATCAATCATAGACATCTGGTGGTATATCAGATATTTTATAGTTTGCGTACGACATTTTAAAGAAAAACTTTTGATTAAAAAAAAAAAAACTAATAAATATTGAAGTGTTTTGTTTGTTTTCAAACATTATATTATCTTTACACTGGTCAACATGATTAGCACTTCGGTTAAAGATAAAATAAATATGTAAATGTGATTAAAATTTAAACAATTTTATTATCAAACATATTTTCTATATAATATTATATTTTTAAATTCATAATTATAAATATTCTTAGACTTAATTAATAGGATATGCCTGTGTAGGATTTGATCCAGTCTAAGTAACTGGTTACACGAGCAAAACCAGCTGGATATCCAGCTTGACAACCAGCTAAAGAAACAAAAGATGTCACACCAATAAGTTCAGAGTCCAAAACCAAAGGTCCGCCAGAATCACCCTGGCAAGTAGAAGTACCGCTAGGAGTCGAAACACAAAGAATTTTATTAGTAATCATAGAGCCATAAGTTTGGGCACATTCGGCATTAGTAATCACTGGAAGATAAGCATAGTTCAACATCGATACGACCGCACCAGCTAAATAGGAATAGAAGATAAGAATAAATCTAAGTTAAATCTTGAAACACTTTAAAAAATTCTAACTTACAATCGTGGTCACGTCCCCAACCGGAGGCGGTGGCCCATGAACCAGCATAACTTGGATAAGATTCAGAAATAGCTGGTAGCTTAACGGGTTGAATTTCATTGCTATAGGTAACTTCAGGAATTCTGATTAAAGTGACATCGTTGTTAAATGTATAAGGATTATATTCAGCATGTTGATAAATGGAGCTGCGGTCAACGGTGTGATGAACCTTGGCAACAGTACGAACAGTGCTTCCCAAGTATACGGTTACACGGTCGATTCCATCTGTGCAATGAGCAGCTGTCAACACCCATTCTTTGCCAATCAAAGAACCACCACACCACATGGATCCATAATTACTATGAAGGGATAAGCCAACTTGGTAAGGGAATAGACCGGGGTAAGCTTCGTAACCATTGGTGATACGACCTTCAATAACTCTAGGGCTTTTCAAGTCCTTAGGAAAAACAGCTGTTTCGGGTATAGAGGCTGCCGAGGCGCAAGCCAACGCTAATGCTAACACTACAAATACTTTCATCGTTTAAGTAGTTCTAATTTGTAACTGACCATTAATCGAAAACTAGTTGTGCTTTTATATCATCACATTTTGTAAGGGTTCTAATGTTTCTTATATTTTCTGAGACTGTATGTATGCACAAACATATATTATCGGAAATCTTGATTTCATTCTTATCAAATAGTTTTTGATAATGCAATCAGAATACCTTTTGAAAATGTCTAAAATTAACATAAAAAACCAGATTAGGTTGGAAAGAAAGTGAATATGTTTAAAAAGTACTTGAGTTATAATTTCGATTAAATTATTATTATTAATTGTGTGTGAATTTTTAAATACACTGTGCTACAAAAGCAATTATTATTGGTATTATTGCATGAATGCTGTACAAATTTTATAATTTAACAACTATCGCTTGCATAAATCGAGAGATTTGTGTAATTTTAGAATTTATTCATTGCGAAATACCTTTTACTTATCTGGAAGGTAAGGTCGGTCTGTTTTTTTACCTGTTTATAAGATTTTAATTTATTACTTTTGAGAATATTCCATGAAAGATTCAAAGTTAAGAGGTTTTTAATCAATCATCTTTATTTTATTTATTTTATTTAATTATTATTAAGTTACAAAAACAAATGTGAAGTGTTTTGTTTTCAAACTATTTTCCCAGCACAGATGGAAACTTTTATTTTCGTCTGTAGAAACAAATAGAACTTTCCAAACCTGAAATTTTTACAAATCTACACGAATTTAATCTATTAGTCATGTTGAGGTAATTGTTATTTATGATTCAGTAGCTATTATGAATAGAAAAATGTTAATCAAATGTACTATTTACGTTATTAAAATTTTAAACTCTTTTAATAGTTAATTTATATAAATTACATAAATTAAAAGTTATTAGTACGATATACCAGTATGATCTTTGATCCACTCCAAGTAGGTGGTTACACGAGCAAAACCAGCTGGATATCCGGCTTGGCAACCAGCCAACGAACCAAAAGATGTTACACCAATAAGTTCTTTTGAAATATCTGAAACTAAAGGACCGCCAGAATCACCATTGCAAGTGGAAGTGCCATCAGGAGTCGAAACACAAAGTATAGTGTTGGTAATCATGGAGCCATAAGTTTGAGCACACTCAGCATTAGGAATAATTCTCAAAAAAGCATAATTTAAGGACGATACAATCCAGCCATCTAGTATAAAATGAAAAGTATAAGAATTTGGGATACAAATACATATGTACACTTAAATACAAAAACATTAAAACTTACTATCTTTATCGAGACCCCAACCGGATGCGGTGCCATAAGTACCAGCATAGGTTGAGTATGAGTCAGAAATAGCTGGTAGCTTAACAGGTTGAATTTCATCAGTATAGCTAACGGCAGGAATTCTGATTAAAGTGATGTCATTATTAAAAGTATTGGGATTATAGTCGTTATGTTGATAAATAGAGTTGAGATCAACGGTGTGAGCAACTTTGGCAACAGTACGAACTGTGCTTCCCAAATATACGGTTACACGTTTGATACCATCTGTACAATGAGCAGCAGTCAACACCCATTCATTGCCGATTAAAGAACCACCACACCAAAATGAACCATATTCTCCATGAAGTGATAAGCCAACTTGATAAGGAAATTGGCCAGAATAAGCTTCATAGCCATTAGTAATACGGCCTTCAATATCTTTAGCGGATTTTAAGTCTTTAAAGAAAACAGGAGTTCCGGGTATGGAAGCCGCCGAAGCGCAAGCCAACACTAATGCTATCACCACCAATACTTTCATGTTTCTATCTGCAATGTATAATTCGTAACTGACCAATAAAGGAAAATTTGTTGTGTTTTTATAGCGTCTTATTATCAGTTGGAACTACTGGAATTCTTATACGTAGTCTTACATATTGTTTTCTTTTTTTAAGAAGTTATATTTTAATAATTTTTATAAAATAAAACTTGACTATGCAATCAGAATGCATCTAAAAGTATTGATTATCCTAAGAATGAACACACCCTCTTTAAGTACTTACTTTATTAGCACTCCAGATATAATTTCGATTAAATATTTAATTAATTTTTATAAAATTTTTAATAAATTATCTTTTCACGTGACTTAGGGGGTTATTTTCGCTTCCCCTCACATTACTTTATAATTCATATACATAAATTGTTTTTGTATTCATAGATTCTACCATAGTGTGTTTTTAGAATAAGTTTATATTACATTTTTCAATTCTGCCGTTAGTTTAGCAATAAGAAACAAAACAAAACACATAAAATACACAAAGCGGGAAAACCGACGTACAACCAAACCTACGCACAGTGGTATAGGAAAAAAAAAAGAGGGAAATAATTCGGTAACTTCTAAACGGTTAATCCGATTTTAATGAAATTTGGTGTGCACAAAGAGGAGGTGTTGTCGAGTTTAGGTTTTGAATTTGGACCTTATAGGCTAACCAGGGGCCCGGCGGGGGGTCATCAAATTAGGACACCTCGGCTATGTTAAATTTTTAAAACGATCCTATTTCTTCATTTGAGTTCCGATTTAAAAAAAATTTCGTATATAGAATCTCCTCATCGAGCACTATAAAAAATGTTGTCATAGCAGTAAATTATCTCTTATAGTTTAGGAGATATTCGCATTTGAAAATTAAAATTTTAAAATTTTTACCGTCCTTACTTTAGTTTTTTTTGATAATAGCAGGTCAAAATATTCCCGATTTTCGCCATTTTTTTTTATTCGCTTAACAACAAGTTTATATATCAAGCAGTGAAAGAATTATGTAAAAATCATGACTGAGTCCAAAGTTATAGGCATTTTAATTTAAAAAATTAAAAAAAGGCGATTTTTTGTCATTTTTTTGGGAAAAAAGTATCTTTTTCTTTTTAAGTTATCTAAAAAGTTTCTAAGAAGATGTATATAGAATTTATACTTTTTGGAAAGCTGACTTTACATAAAATACGATAAATGAAACAAAACCTAAAAATTTTTGATACCGAGGGGACCAGGTCCATCCAAAAAAACCCTATTTTTTATGGAAAATTAAATTTTGAGCAAAAATTCTCAAATCGCATAGTCGATATCAAATTATAGTGACCTGTTTTATATGACCCAATAAGTTCTTAATCATTTTGTAACGGGTTTCGATAACCCCGCCCCTGGTATGGATATAATAGGCAAAAAACCAAAAAATCCCATTTTTGGGATTTTTTAAAACTTTTTTGGGAATTCCGGGATTTCTAATAAGAAAATTCGAAATTTTTATTTAATTTTGGATTTTGAGTAAAAAAATCTACCTAACTGTAAAATTTCATCAAAAAATATTCATAAATAAAATTTTTATTGCAATTTGAAAAATTTGTATCTTCGCAAAAACTGAATAAAAAACATTTTTTAATTTTTTTTAAAAAAAGTATTCCGCGAATTTTTTAATTTTCAAAAATTATATACAGTTTTGAAAAATAGACAAAAATACCTTTCCATTGATATATAACATGCCTACCTAATGTTTTTTAAGTGACAAATTAATTAGGGAAAACTCAACATCTTTTAGAAAATTTGCCTAGCACTATTATTTTCATCCATAAGGTTAACTCTTAAATTTGTTACATATATGGATGAAAATAATAGTGCTAGGTAAATTTTCTAAAAGATGTTGAGTTTTCCCTAATTAATTTGTCACTTAAAAAACATTAGGTAGGCATGTTATATATCAATGGAAAGGTAATTTTGTCTATTTTTCAAAACTGTATATAATTTTTGAAAGTTAAAAAATTCGCGGAATACTTTTTTTAAAAAAAATTAAAAAATGTTTTTTATTCAGTTTTTGCGAAGATACAAATTTTTCAAATTGCAATAAAAATTTTATTTATGAATATTTTTTGATGAAATTTTACAGTTAGGTAGATTTTTTTACTCAAAATCCAAAATTAAATAAAAATTTCGAATTTTCTTATTAGAAATCCCGGAATTCCCAAAAAAGTTTTAAAAAATCCCAAAAATGGGATTTTTTGGTTTTTTGCCTATTATATCCATACCAGGGGCGGGGTTATCGAAACCCGTTACAAAATGATTAAGAACTTATTGGGTCATATAAAACAGGTCACTATAATTTGATATCGACTATGCGATTTGAGAATTTTTGCTCAAAATTTAATTTTCCATAAAAAATAGGGTTTTTTTGGATGGACCTGGTCCCCTCGGTATCAAAAATTTTTAGGTTTTGTTTCATTTATCGTATTTTATGTAAAGTCAGCTTTCCAAAAAGTATAAATTCTATATACATCTTCTTAGAAACTTTTTAGATAACTTAAAAAGAAAAAGATACTTTTTTCCCAAAAAAATGACAAAAAATCGCCTTTTTTTAATTTTTTAAATTAAAATGCCTATAACTTTGGACTCAGTCATGATTTTTACATAATTCTTTCACTGCTTGATATATAAACTTGTTGTTAAGCGAATAAAAAAAAATGGCGAAAATCGGGAATATTTTGACCTGCTATTATCAAAAAAAACTAAAGTAAGGACGGTAAAAATTTTAAAATTTTAATTTTCAAATGCGAATATCTCCTAAACTATAAGAGATAATTTACTGCTATGACAACATTTTTTATAGTGCTCGATGAGGAGATTCTATATACGAAATTTTTTTTAAATCGGAACTCAAATGAAGAAATAGGATCGTTTTAAAAATTTAACATAGCCGAGGTGTCCTAATTTGAGGACCCCCCGCCGGGCCCCTGGTTGGCCTATAAGGTCCAAATTCAAAACCTAAACTCGACAACACCTCCTCTTTGTGCATACCAAATTTCATTAAAATCGGATTAACCGTTTAGAAGTTACCGAATTATTTCCCTCTTGTTTTTTTCCTATACCACTGTGCTACGCTTTTTCAATAAGTGGATGTTGTTGCTGATTTTTTTCCAAAGCATGCACTAACATTCCCCTTTTTTGATGCAATTTTACAAGTTGTTCCGATTTTCTGCTTATATCTCCGTGATTTATGGACGGATTTTGCTGATTTTGAATAGGAATCTTTTCGAAAGCATGTCTGACAGAATTATTGAAGATTTGAATTTCGCAGATATCTGGGGTCTTTACAAAATTGATTACAACAGACACACAGACATGGCTTAATCGACTCCGCTATCTATAAGGATCCAGAATATATGTATATGTACATACAAACGAAATAACAAACTTATAAATACCCTTCTCACGAAGGTGAAGGATATAAAAATATTAGAACGAATAATAATTGAATAATTCGTCCTTTGTGGAAATTTTGGACTTTAGTGGACCAATGAGGGATTGGATCCCGATGGCGCATATCTCTTAGGTATATGTTACTGTATCTATCATGTAACCTGGTTACATGATGCAATGAAACATTTTCAATAGCCTTTGCCTTTAATATAATAGAAGATCATATACCAAATTATCTTTATAAATTTAGAAGTTTGAAGGTTTATTTCTTTCAGTTCTGGTTGATCTTTTCATTTTTTTTCTTTTACAAATTATTATTTTTTATTTCATCTATTTTTAAATCCATAACTATAAAAATTTCTTAAACTACATTAATATGATATGCCAGTGTGGGATTTAATCCATTCTAAATAAGTTGTAACACGAGCAAATCCAGATGGATATCCAGCTTGGCAACCAGCTGACGAAACAAAAGATGTCACTCCAATAAGTTCAGAGTCCGAAACTAAGGGACCACCAGAATCACCCTGGCAAGTGGAAGTGCCATCAGGAGTTGAAACACATAGTAGTGTATCAGTTATTATTGAACCATAGGTTTGAGCACATTCAGCATTACTTATGACTGGAAGATCAGCATAATTCAACATCCATACGGTCCAGCCAGCTAAAACAAAAAACAATATTAGTATAAACATAAGATCACTTGAAGAATATAACTTACAATCATAGGTTTTTCCCCAACCGGAAGCGATAGCAGTGGTACCAGCATAAGTTGGATATGATTTAGAAACAGCTGGTAGTTTAATGGGTTGAATTTCATCGGTATAGGTAACAGCAGGAATTCTGATTAAGGAGATATCATTATTAAAAGTATAAGGATCATAGTGTGCATGTTGATAAATGGAGCTGCTATCAACGCCATAAGTAACTGTGGCAACAGTACGAATAGTGCTACCCAAGTACACAGTAGCAGATATGACTTTATCTGTGCAATGGGCAGCGGTCAGCACCCATTCATTGCCGATTAATGAACCACCGCAAAAAAAGGTACCATAGTCATCGTGAAGCGATAAGCCAACTTGGTAAGGGAATTGACCGAAATTAGCTTCATGTCCGTTAGTGATACGGCCTTCGACAACTTTATCTGCTTTTAAGTCTTTGAGAAAAACAGGAGTTTCGGGAATAGAGGCTGCTGTAACGCAAGCCAATATTAATGCTAACACCACAAATACTTTCATTGTTTCCGAAACTTGTTAGAATGCGCAACTGAAGATTAATCCACAATTCTGTGTGCTTTTATATTGTCAAATTCCGAATTTAATATCGGAAATGACCCCTTGAGAATTTTTTAAATTCCTATAAATTGATTAGTTTAAAAATATTTAATATTACTTGAGATCTAATTTCGATCAAGTTTGTTTGTATTATTAATTAATACGATTAATAAGGTTGAACTCGTAATTGGTGGTACTCAGTTTTGTTTTAGTTAAAAATCCTGATTAAAGGGACATTCAAAGCCTTATTGTCTGAATAGTATAGGTCACACACACCTTTCTTATTACTTTTGTAAATGATATATAATTTTATAGAAATTCTTTGAAAATTTCAAATTGGATGTTATTTTTAAACTAAAATATTTTGAGTTCAACCTTATTAATCGTATCAAAGTAATTAAAAAAGCAAACATGTTTAATCGAAAATATGTCTTAAGTACTCTTAAATCTTTTTAGGTTAATCAATTTCAAAGAGGCATTAAATCAAGATTTCCGATTGAACGTATAGAACGGACAATTGTCGTCAGTAGGGCCAATAATAAATATGACAATATAAAAGCAATAAGAATTGTTAATTAAACGTTAGTTACGAATTATATAGAGTTTCGGAAACAATGAAAGTATTTGTGGTCTTAGCATTAGCTTTGGTTTGCTCTTCGGTAGCCTCCATTCCAGAAACTGCTGTTTTTCTAAAACACTTAAAAGCCGATAAGGCTATCGATGGTCGTATTGCTAATGGACATGAAGCTAAGCCCGGTCAATTCCCTTACCAAGTAGGCCTATTACTTAATTGGGACTATGGCACATTTTGGTGCGGTGGTTCATTGATTGGCCAGGAATGGGTATTGACTGCAGCTCATTGCACAGATGGCGTCAGATCTGTTACCGTATTCTTGGGAAGCACTAAACGTACTGTTGCCAAAGTTGCTCACACCGTCGATTACAACTCCATTTATCAGCATAAAGACTTCAATCCTGATACTTTCAATAATGATATCAGTTTAATTAGAATACCGCCAGTTACTTATACCAATGAAATTCAAGCTGTTAAGCTACCAACTATATCTGAATCATATTCAACTTATGCTGGTAGTATTGCCACCGCTTCTGGTTGGGGAAGTACCGATAACGGTAAGTTGCAGTTCTTAAGTGTTTATATCTTTATACTAAATTTTTCTTTTTGCTTAGATGGATGGGTTGTATGGATGTTAAATTATGCCGATCTGCCAGTCATTAGTAATGCTGAGTGTGCAGAAACCTATGGCTCAATGATAACTGACACACTACTTTGTGTTTCAACTCCTAGCGGCACTTCTACTTGCCAGGGTGATTTTGGTGGTCCATTGGTTTCGAATTCTGAACTTATTGGTATAACATCTTTTGTTTCGGCTGCTGGTTGCCAATCTGGATATCCATCCGGATTTGTTCGTGTAACCACTTATTTAGAATGGATTAAGTCCCACACTGGGATATCTTATTAATGCAGCTTAAGTAATTTATTTGTACCATTATGAACATAGAATAAATAACATACTTTGTTAATATCAAATGAATATATAATGGTTTTAGTTCTTTAATTAAGCCTCCAATCAAGAAAATAACAAAATCCTATAATCACTAAAATTTTTTGTAAAAAATAAATTTTAGTATGAAAAATTTATAATTAGTTTTAGTTCCCTAAAATTCACTCACTCACCTTCGTGAGGGGGGTATATACATATAAGTTTGTCATTCTGTTTGTAATTTCTACAATATAATTTTCCGACCCCTTAACGTATATATATATTCTAGATAGCGAAGAACGCGAAGTCGTTTAAGCCAAGTCCGTCTGTCTTTTTGTTGAAATCAATAAAAAACTCCAGATATCTTCGGGATCCAAATCTTCAATAATTCTGTCAGGCTTGATTTCGAAAAGTTTCTTATTGAAAATCAGCAAAATCTGTCCATAAATAACTGAGATATGTGACCACCTTTAAGAAATTATAAATCAAAGCATAAGTAATAATACAGCGTACATACTGTATTACCTACCATCAAACAAATACTATGGTAGGTAATACAGTTATATAAAGGTAAAACAGTTATACAGTTTGTATGTAGGTTATACAGTTGTACTTGACCACGAAGCACTACTATGGGAATAGTGTTTGATAATGGAATCAGAAAGTAATCCAAAACCAGTATTAATAATTGATAACCCGAAAAATTAACACGCGTTCTTTAAGTACTTACTTTAATAACACTTAAGATATAATCTATATTAAATTGTTATGGAATTTTTAATAATCTTTTCACATGACTTAATGCGGATTATGGCATAAATAAAATTGGGTAATAAATACACTTATATCGGACTAATGTCAGACGTTCTGGCGACATGACCGATATTTAACGATTTAGGTATCGTAATACAATTTAATGAGAATTACTAATAGAACGTTTGATTAAACAAAATAAAACTGTAAAGTGTTTTGTTTGTTCTCAGACATTTTTATTTCAACCTATTTGTAAATCCAACTAATTATACAATTTGTTTAAGCTGCCTTAATAGGAGATGCCAGTGTGGGACTTAATCCAGTCTAAGTAAGTGGTTACACGAGTAAATACAGCTGGATAACCAACTTGACAACCAGACGACGAAACAAACGATGCTACACCAATAAGATCGGAGTCCAAAGCTAAAGGACCACCATTATCACCATTGCAAGGGGAACTGCCGTTAGGAGTTGAAACGCAAACAAATGTATCAGTAATCAATGAGCCAAAACTTTGAACACACTCCTCGTTGCTAATGACAGGAAGCTCAGCATAATTCAACATCCATACAACAAATCCGGCTAAAAAATAATAAAAGACACATAAAGATGGAATCACTCAAATATAATAACAATGATCGTAAATGAACTTACTATCGTAGGTTTTTCCCCAACCAGATGCGGTGGCAATACTACCAGTATATGAAGGATATGTTTCAGAAATAGCTGGTAGTCTAATGGGTTGAATATCATCGGTATAGGTAACAGCAGGGATTCTGATTAGAGAGATATCATTGTGGAAATTATAATTATCAAAGTCTGTGTGTTGGAAAATGGAGCTGCGGTCCACAGAGTAAGCAACTTTGGCAACAGTACGTATGGTGCTTCCCAAATATACGGTAGCAGCTACGACTCCTTCTGTACAATGAGCAGCAGTCAATACCCATTCACTGCCGATTAAGGAACCACCACACCAAAATGTGCCGTAGTCATTAAAAAGAGATAAGCCAACTTGGTAAGGGAATTGTCCGGGATTAGCTTCATGCCCGTTAGTAATACGACCTTCGCCTTTTAAGTCCTTAGGAAAAACAGGAGTTTCGGGAACAGAGGCTGCCGAAACGCAAGCCAAAGCTAATGCTAACACCACAAATACTTTCATTGTTTCCGAAACTTGTTAAAATTCGTAACTGACGATTAACCAACATTTCTTGGTGCTTTTATATTGTCATATTGTGGTTCTAATGCTTGCAATCAGAAATCTTGATTTAATACCCCTTGAAAATTTTAAAATGTTTAAAACAATTGATTAGTTTTAAAGTATTTGAGAGTACTTAAGACATTAATTTCGATTAAGTTTGTTTGCATTTTTATTTACGCTTTTAAACAAAATACTTTTAATAAGGATCAACTCAAAGAATATAAAATAGATTAGAATTTTTCAATCAAAACATTGGGACTTCAACCTTATAAGAATATTAAATCTTTTTTCTAGCTTTACGCAATTAAAAACGAAATTGGGTCTTAAGTAATCTTAAATAATTTTTGTTTTCCTTAATCAATGTTTAAGTGTATTTTATAAAGCTTTCAAGGGGCCATTTCCGATATTGTATTTGCAAAACAAATCTCAGAACGTGCGGCCAATTTCAAATGTGACAATATAAAAGCTCCAACAGTTTTTGTTAAACTCGTCAGTTACGAATTATATTTAGCTTCAGTAACAATGAAAGTATTTGTGGTGTTAGCATTAGCGTTGGCTTGCGTTTCAGCAGCCTCAATTCCCGAAACTGCAGTTTTTCTGAAAGACTTGAAAGCCGATAATGTTATCGAAGGTCGTATTACTAATGGACATGATGCTTCCCCCGGTCAATTTCCTTACCAAGCTGGATTATCACTTAATGGAGACTATGGCTCATTTTGGTGCGGTGGCTCTTTAATTGGCAAGGAATGGGTGTTGACTGCTGCTCATTGTACAGATGGTGTTAGATCTATTACCGTTTACTTGGGAAGCACTTCTCGTGCTGTTGCCAAAGTTACTTACTCCGTTGATTATAATTCCTTTTTTCAACATAGAGACTATGATCCTTTTACTTTCAACAATGATATCACTTTAATCAAAATTCCTGCAGTGACCTTTACCGATGAAATTCAACCCATTAGACTACCAGCTATTTCTCAATCATATCCAACTTATGATGGCACATGGCCCACCGCCTCCGGTTGGGGAAAAATTGAAGATGGTATGTACAGTTTTTTATTTATTTAATTTATTTCATTGTTATACTAATTGTATTCTTCCTTTAGCTGGATGGGTTGTATGGGGTTTGAAATATGTTCAACTTGAAGTCATTAGTAATGCTGAGTGTGCTCAGACCTATGGTCCCATGATTACAGACGCAATACTTTGCGTTGCTACTCCTGACGGCACTTCCACTTGCCAGGGTGATTCTGGTGGTCCCTTAGCTTTGGGCTCTGAACTTATTGGTTGTAACATCTTTTGTTTCATCAGGTGGCTGCGAATCTGGATATCCATCTGGATTTGCTCGTGTAACCACTTATTTAGAATGGATCAAATCCCTTACCGGCATATCGTATTAATGCAGTCTAAGTAATTTGTACAATTATGGATTTAAAAATAGAATGAAATAAAAAATTACTTTATTAAAGTTAAAGAATGTGTTGTTGTTGTAAATACCAATTTGGAAATACATATATGTATGTATGAATATACGAATTTATTATAATTTGACTGAGTTAATTAGTTAGTTAGTGGGCTAGTTAGTTAGTTAGTTAGTTAGTTAGTTAGTTAGTTAGATAGTTAGTTAGTTAGTTAGTTAGTTAGTTAGTTAGTTAGTTAGTTAGTTAGTTAGTTAGTAGTTAGTTAGTTAGTTAGTTAGTAGTTAGTTAGTTAGTAGTTAGTTAGTTAGTTAGTTAGTAGTTAGTTAGTTAGTTAGTTAGTTAGTTAGTTAGTTAGTTAGTAGTTAGTTAGTTAGTTAGTAGTTAGTTAGTTAGTTAGTTAGTTAGTTAGTTAGTTAGTTAGTTAGTTAGTTAGTTAGTAGTTAGTTAGTTAGTTAGTTAGTTAGTTAGTTAGTAGTTAGTTAGTTAGTTAGTTAGTTAGTTAGTTAGTTAGTTAGTTAGTTAGTAGTTAGTTAGTTAGTTAGTTAGTTAGTTAGTTAGTTAGTTAGTTAGTTAGTTAGTTAGTTAGTTAGTTAGTTAGTTAGTTAGTTAGTTAGTTAGTTAGTTAGTTAGTTAGTTAGTTAGTTAGTTAGTTAGTAGTTAGTTAGTTAGTTAGTTAGTTAGTTAGTTAGTTAGTTGTTGACCTTGCATTTGTACGGACCAGCCCTAATTTATTTGGAGTACTCTTTGTCAAGAATCGTTGAAAAAACCCGGGGTTTCAGATAACGGTCCTTAAACTATCGTTACTTTCTTTACTACATTTCTTTAAAAAGAAAACGATATTTATTAAATTTACCAAACACACATAGTATATTTCTATTCGTAATAACTTAAACAAAAGTCCAGCATTTTAAAGATAAAATTAAATTGGTTAATATGAAATGCCAGTGTAGGCCCTGATCCATTCCAAGTAAGTGGTTACACGGGCGAATCCAGCAGCAGCACCATATTGGCAACCAGCTCGGGAAACAAAAGAGGTAACACCAATGAGTTCTCTTGTAAAATCTGATACTAATGGGCCACCAGAATCACCGCTGCATGTAGAAGTGCCACTAGGAGTGGCAACACAAAGGATATTGTTATTAATCATTGATCCATAGGTTTTAGCACACTCAGCATTAGTTATGACCAGAAATTGGGCATATCTCAAGTTAGATACACTTGCGTTGTCTTAAAAAAAGAGAAAACAGTTAATTTAGCATATAAAGAAATTTAATAAAAATATCTAAAATTACTCTCATCGAGTCCCCAACCAGATGCGGTGGCCCAAGTATTAGCATAGTTGGAGTAGGTTTCAGAAATAGCGGGTAGCTTAATTGGTTGAATTTCATCGGAATAAGTAACTTCAGGAATTCTGATCAAAGAGATATCATTATTCAAAGTTATGGGATTGTAGCCTTCATGTTGGATAAAGGAGGCGGAGTCCACTTTAAAAGTAACTTGAGCAACAGTGCGTTCAGTACTTCCCAAATACACGGTAGCAGACAAAACACGATCGGTACAGTGGGCAGCAGTCAACACCCATGTTTTGCCAATCAAAGAACCACCACACCACATGGATCCATATTGACCAAGTGATAATGTTAAGCCTACTTGGTAGGGGAATAGACCAGGATAAGCTTCATATCCATTAGTAATACGTTCCTCAATAACTTTAGCAACTTTCAAGTCCTTGGGGAAAACAGCAGTTTCCGGTATAGAGGCTGCCGAAACGCAAGCCAATGCTAATGCCAACACTACAAATACTTTCATCGTTCAAGTAGTTATAATTTGTAACTGATCATTAATCCAAAACTAGTTGGTCTTTTATATCAAAATATTTTTAAAGGGTCTTAATGTTTTTTTTTTTATAAATATGTATGTTTGAAAACTTTGTTTATCTTGTTTTGATCATTATCAAATAGTGTTTGATATTTAATCTAAAAACATTCTTAAATCAGTATTAATAATTGATTACCCTAATAAACACACGTTTCTGAAGTACTTTCTTTTAAATTGATATTATTTCAATTAATTTGTTATATAATGTTTATGAATTTATAATTACACTGGTCGACAAACTATTCTCTTATCTTAGTGTAGATTGTAGTCCATTTTTAAAATTTTCTGGTTTGAATTTCACAATATTATTTATTCTTAATAGATGATAAATATTCTATTGATTATTATTAAAATAAAATATTGATTTCCGAAATCGATTCTACAAACATCGATATTCGATATTATTGCTATTTTTGATTTTTGAAATTTGTTTTGTTACCATAATTTTTAATTCGCCTTAAAAAAGTCGAATCCCCAGATCAGAACATGCGCTGAAACCGAATCTGTCCTCAAAATTTTCAAGATATCATGTGCTAAACTACGCTTTTAGCCATTTCAGCGTAGACATCACTATTTATACAATTAATTAAGAAATTCAGAGGCCAGGTCCCAAATTAAGGCACACGATATCGATTGAAATTTTAATTGAATATAAATAGAGATTTCTAACGATATCGTAATTTGGATTTTACTGACCCGCTGTTAACTATTGGGCTGTATTGACTCTTCCAGACTAAGACCTATCAATGTTAGAAATTTAAAGGAAACCGATTCAATAAACAAATAAATAACCTTACAAAGCAATTTATAATATAAATTAGAATTCTGAACCCTTATATATAAATAGCGAAGTCTATTTAGCGTAGTATCGTTATATGTAGATCAAATAGGAGTGTATTAAAAGAAAGATATTTGAATGACCTTTCATTTGATATAAATACACTATCGTACTGTTTATAATAGATGAAATTCAAAACAAGTAAGAAAGTATAGTCGGGCGTGGCCGACCATATGATACCCTACACCAGTTATGAATATTAATAATATAATTAAATTTTGTGAATATATTTATATTGACATAATATTTTATTGTGCTGAATTTCATCGCGATATTTGTGTTTATAAGTTAATTTTGGACATTCAAGTAATTTTCTGAAGGGGACTTTGTATGGGAGTTAGGGTCAAATGGGGCCCGATCTTTATGAAATTTGGCAGGGTCATCAAGACTTCTATAAAACTTAGTTGTGCCGTATTTTATCGATATATCTGTATATTTAACATAATTATGAGCTCAGAAGCCCTTTTCGGGGGGTTCTGTTCTATGGGGGCTAGGTGAAATAATGGACCGATTTTAACCATTTTCAATTCGTCCTTGGGTCAAATAAAACGTGCGATCCAAATTTCATCCAATTATCTTGAAAATTGCGACCTGTACCTTGCGCACAAGGTTTACATGGACAGCCAGCCAGCCAGCCAGCCAGACGGACGGACATAGCTTAATCGACTCAGAAAACGATTCTAAGCCGATTGGTATACTTTAAGGTGGGTCTAGGACGAATATTTTTGTATGTTACAAACATCAGCACAAATCCATATACCCTCCCCACTAAAGTAGTGTAGGGTATAAAAACTTCAAAGGAATTATTTTCCCAAATATTTCAAATTGATTTAACTAAAGGATTAACAATTCTTGGAAAGCATTCCCAAGATTTAATACCGATAACTAATTCTTAATGCTTCACATATAGTTGAATTAATTGCCTTTTAAACTGTTTTAATTGATAATAATATGGGGGTATAAACATACATTCATACATATATGTATATATACTAAGTATGTTCAAGTATTTCAGAATATCTATATAAAGCTCTGCCGATATAATTGCTTGTGATAAGAGATAAACAAAATCATAATGTCTGGTCTAGTCCAGATGTTAAGCATAGATAAATGTGAAGTGTTTTATTTCTATGATTCAAAGAAGCACAGGTGTATGTGGACAATTTCAAATCCAAAAACTATATATGGGGGCCATAATCAGCTATTTCTGAAGTGTTAATAAACATTTATGATTCTCAATATTATTCTGACTCATAACATAATTGCAATTAAAACAATAAACTATTTTAAAATTTAATTTTAGTACATATTTATATTTAATTTTATCGTAATAATTTAAATAAAATATTATTTACATTAAATTAGTAGTATATGCCAGTGTGGTCTTTAATCCATTCCAAGAAATGGGTGACACGGGCAAAACCAACTGGATAACCAGCTTCGCAACCAAGAGCCGAACCAAAAGATGTTACACCAATAAGTTCTTTAGTAGTGCCCGAAACTAATGGACCACCAGAATCACCTTGGCAAGTAGAACTACCGCCAGAAGTCGAAACACAAAGAGTGCCGCTATTAACGACCACATCGCCATAAGTTTTAGCACATTCGGCATTAGTAATAATCAAAAGATGAGCGAAATTCAAGGTGGTTACAGTCATACCGTCTATACAGGAAAAATAAAATCCACAATATAAATGGTTATTACACTTAAAACAAAATGAACACTTACAATCATGATCGTTGCCCCAACCGGTGGCGGTACCCCAAGTACCAGCATAGGTTGGATATGAACCAGAAATAGCAGGTAGCTTAACAGGTTGAATTAATTTGCTATAGGCAACTTCAGGAATTCTAATTAAGGCGACATCGTTTTCATAGGTTTGAAGATTAAAGCCGCTGTGTGTGAAAATGTTGCTACGATCAACATTGTACGTGACTTCAGCCACAGTGCGAGTAGTGCTGCCCAAATATACTACAGCATTCAGTACATCATATGTGCAGTGAGCAGCAGTCAATACCCATTCTTTGCCAATTAAAGAACCACCACACCAAAATGAACCGTATTCAATGTGAAGTGATAAACCTACTTGATAGGGGAATAGACCGGGATGTGCAGGACTTCCATTAACAATACGACTTTCGGGACGTTTTATGTCCTTGAAAAAAGCAGGAGTTGCTGGTAAGCTGGCTGCCGAAACGCAAGCCAAGGACAATGCTAATACTACCAAGACTTTCATGGTTGCGGTAGCTGAGTAAATACAATTCGTAACTGACCATTAATTGAAAATTAGTTGTGTTTTTATATTAAAATTTAAACCTTATCAAGCGCCACTAGTGCAATTTTTATGTTCCAAAAGTTTGTTTTCTCTCATTATCAAATAGTGTTTGATAACCTAATCAAACTGCCTCTAAAAATACTTCAAAATCGGTAAGAATAACTTATTACTCTAATAATTAATAAACATGTACTTATGCATACATATATGTATGTTTGTACGTTTATGAAGTAGGTTAATAGAACTTTAGACATCAGGTCGATTATCTTGTTATATAATTTCATATATCATATGATTTTTTCATAAGTAGTTTTATTAAAATTTGCATATAGACGCTTATAATCTAAATTAATCTTTAAAAATAGTTTCAAGTGTTTTTGTGCACTTGAAACATTATAACAAGTTATTAAATAAATCGGGGGGTTTTATTTCTAAATATAGTACATATCGCCCATTTACTACAAGACTAGCCTAATCCAAAATTAGTTTTTTTTTCTAACTGAAGACTACAAAATATGTGTAATATTAAAATCTTCCATGTAGATTTATCAAATTTTTAATTTCGAAAATAATGTCTGGAACTGGTTTTATCTTCCAAATCCCCTGATTTGTTTTCATTAAAATTTCAAAGCCACTTTTCTCGAAACAACTTTTTATATCCTGCATCACTATAGTGGGGTGGGTGTTATGCGTTTGTGCTGGTGTTTGTAACACCCAAAAATATTGGACCTTAAAGTATACCGATCGGCTCAGAATTACTTTCTAAGTCGATTTTGCTATGCCCGTCATTTAAAATGCTTAAAATTGGTCCATTATTTATTAATGGACCCCTCTAGTAATTTTTAAAGTTTCTAAAAAACTAATCAATATCTCCGTTATGTATGGACCGATTTACTTGTTTTAAATAGGAAACTTCTCGAAAGCATATCTGATAAAATAAATTAAAATTTAGATACCTGACAAGACTAAATCGACTCCGCTTGTAAAGGGAGACTATATGTTACATATTAAAATTAAAATATCTGAACTACAAATAGGATCGTCAATGAAGCCCTTAACCTGGTCATTGTTTAAATTTGAAAATAAATTTCCATTGGGTTTATTGCATTTATATCCAATAAAAAGTACAAATATTTGTACTCTATAAATTTTTGAGTAAAAATAATTCCTAAAATCCAACTATAAGATCCATTATATAATACTAAAGTTGTTTATTATTAATCGATCGACGAATGTCTTCAGTATTATTGTAGTTAAATAAAATTTGTGTTATTTAAGCAATGTTTTTTTATACATAGTAAATTTTATTTCATGATAATTTAATACTTTAAAAAATTTTAAAATTCCATTAAATTAATTAGTAGGAAATGCCGGTGTTCGTCTTGATCCAATCCAAATAACTGGTTACACGAGCAAAACCACCTGGTGAACCAGCTTCGCAACCAAGTGTTGAAGTGAAAGATGTAACACCAATAAGTTCTTTTGTCGAGTCTAAAACCAATGGGCCGCCAGAGTCTCCTTGGCAAGTGGAATAACCGCTAGTAGTCGCAATACAAAGTATTTTGCTAGTAATAAGAGAACCATAAGTTTGAGCACACTCAGCATTACTCATGACTATGAAATAGGCGTAACTCAATGTGTCAACAGGCCATCCAACTATAAAGTAAAAACACAAATTCGTAAGAATATATTTTGGGTGTATGAAAATGAGAACATTGAAACTTACAGTCACGATCAGCTCCCCAACCACTTGCAAGGGCATAATCTCCGGTAAATGTTGGATATGAGTTGGACATAGCTGGTAATTTGACAGGTTGAATCAATTTGCTGTAGGCAACTTCAGGAATTTTGATTAAAGAGATATCATTAGCCAAAGTAGTGGAATCGAAGTCTTTATGTTGATATATAGCTCTTGAGTCTATAGTGTATGTGACTTCAGCAACTGAGCGTTCAGTGCTTCCCAAATACACGATTCCAGCTAAAACACCATTTGTACAATGGGCAGCAGTCAATACCCATTCTTTACCAATTAAAGAACCACCACACCAAAATGCTCCATATGCATCATCAAGTGATAGACCAACTTGATAAGGAAATAGACCGGGATGAGCTGGACTACCATTAATAATACGTCCTTCGATAGCTTTAGTTCTTTTAAAGTCTTTAAGAAATACTGGAGTTTCGGGTATGATGGCGGCCGAAACACAAGCCAATGCTAATGCTAGTACACCCAAGACTTTCATGGTTCTTTTCGTAACTGACCATAAGTCGAAAACTAGTTGAGTTTTTATATCATCACATAATCAAGCGACACTACTGTAATTTTTATGTTCCGATACTTTGCTTTTTAAGATATCTTGTGTTCATAATTATAAAATATCTGTTGATAATGCAATCAGAATGCGTCAGAATGCGTACTTCAAAATAAGTACATTTCGTTACCTTAAAAAAATTTGTTTCTCAAAAAAATTTTTTTTTTACATTTTCTAGTACAATTCCGTGGAATATACAAATAAAAATAATATACATATAAAACTTTTCATTTATTTTATCCATCGGTTTCTAATAAGATTTCTTTCACCTTACGAACAAAATTTAAATGTTAGCTAGTACTTACGTCTTTTTATGTTAAGACGGCGCTATGTACTTATTAATAGTAGATTACTCTTGAAAAGTACTTTATACATAATTTCGATTAAATTGTTATTAAATTTTTAATAACACTACTGCTATAGCTGACTTATATCACGTTGTAGATTTAGAAATTCCCTAATTTGCATACAGAACTTCATTTCATGGGTACTTTAAAAACTTGTAGGACCTTTAAGTATTAAAAAAATCTTTATTTTTTATTATATCCTCCACCGATCTTATGTATAAATATAAGATATTAAGCAATTTATCATTTACAATTACACTGGGTTGTAATAATTTGTTTTGTCTCGTTTGGATTTTGATGTTGAATTAAGTATTATAGTTTGAGATCTGTTGAATTGTTATTTGGTTTTAAAATATTTCTAACATGTATTCCGAACCCGGTACTCGAAGCTAGATATTATACACTACTTGAAAGGTATTATGGGTTTGTACTGATGTAGTATGTAACGCGTAGAAATATTGTTAAAGTTTAGTAGTAGCCTAAGGATCATTATGTGAATCGATTTAGCGGTATCCGTATTCTTTGTATCAAACTTCAGGTATTCTTTGTAATCAACCTTCAGGTAGCAAATTTTAAGATAATTTGACATAGGTCTTTTTTGGCCGATGGCAGAATTCTATTGAAAATGCTTCGGTTCATTACCTTTTTTAAATTTGAACCTTAAGTGAACTCTTTATAACTTACACTTTAGTTGGAAGGATATTATGCGTTTCTGCTGATGTTTGTAACTCCAAAAAATAGCCTAATTAGTCCTGTAACCACTTTCTTAGTCGATTAAGTCTGTCTGTTCATGTAAAACTTGTCATCGAACTATAGGTCGGAATTTTTAAAATAATTTTGGTTGGAAATCGGTAAAATATTTTTCTTACCCTCCATACAACTGGATTTTCGAATAGAGTTTTGGAGCTTATAATTATGTTAAATCTCTACGAAAATCGGCCCAGATAAGTTTAAAGTAATGTTGATTTTTGAGATGATCGGGTCTCTTTTGAACCTAGTCCCCATCACTTGAACGTGATAAAATATGTACTTTTAGGGGTTTCACAAAAAAACTCTAGATTTGATGGAATCCAAAAGTTATCACATATTTGCTCCTGATTGGATGGATATTAAAACATAAAAGTGTTGAAGAATATTCATAAACTTTGAATATTTGATCTATTTAAGACAATGTAATATTAAACTTTTTTATATACATACATATTTATAGTATATTTTATTTTATTATAATTTAATACTTTAACAAATTACAAAATTTTAAAGCTTTATTAGATTCATTAGTAAGAAATGCCAGTGTTAGACTTGATCCAGTCCAAGTAAGTGGTTACGCGAGCAAAACCAGCTGGTGAACCAGCTTCGCAACCAAGAGCCGAGGTGAAAGATGTAACACCAATAAGTTCCTTGGTAGAATCCAAAACCAATGGGCCGCCGGAGTCTCCCTGACAAATAGAGTAACCGCTAGTAGTAGACACACAAAGTGTTCCACTATTGATAAGTGAGCCATAAGTTTGAGAACACTCAGCATTACTAATGACTTGGAAATAAGCAAAGCTCAATGTTTGTACAGGCCATCCATCTATAAAATAAAACATATAAGTAAATATGTATAAATATATTCTATGATTTATGACAATATAGAATATTAAAACTTACAGTCACGATCAGCACCCCAACCGGTACCGAGGGCATAACTACCGACAAATGATGGATATGAGTTGGACATAGCTGGTAGTTTAACAGGTTGAATTAATTTGCTATAGGTTACTTCAGGAATTCTAATTAAAGAAATATCATTGGATAAAGTAGTGGGATCGAAGTCTAAATGTTGAATAATAGCGCTGGCGTCAAGATTGTAGGTGACTTCAGCAACTGTACGTTCAGTGCTTCCCAAATATACGACTATAGAAACCACATTATTTGTGCAATGGGCCGCAGTCAATACCCATTCTTTGCCAATCAAGGAACCACCACACCAAAATGGTCCATATCCATCATCTAGTGATAGACCAACCTGATAAGGGAATAAACCTGGGTGGGCAGGACTTCCGTTAACAATACGACCTTCAGTAGCCTTCGTGCCTTTTAAATCTTTAAGAAACACTGGAGTTTCGGGTATGGAGGCTGCTGAAACGCAAGCCAATGCTAATGCTAGCACACCAAATACTTTCATGGTTAAAGTAGCTATGTTTGATTCGTAACTGACCATTAATCGAAAATTAGTTGTGTTTATATATCATCACATAATCAAGCGGCACTACTGTAATTTTTATGTTCTGAAACTTTTTTTCTTTCCTTATCAAATAGTTGATGATAGATAACACAATCAAAATGTTTCTAAAATGCTTCTAAAATATTCCAAAATTAACATTAACTATAGATTATAATTTGAAAGTACTTCAGACATACAAAGATTCGATTAAATTATTATGAATATTTGAATAATTACTAGGGCTTTAAAATACAGAAACTATCTAGCTAATGCGTCTGTTAAAAGTACGATAAGATCTAAGGAGTAAAAGTTAGGTTGATGGAATTTTCCAATAAAATTGTGTATATGTATATAAGATTGTTATTCCATTTGCCATGTCCGTATGTATGTTAAACTCAGCTTTTAAAATAGTCCAGATATCTGTGAGATTCGAATTTTTAATAATTCTATCAGCCATGCTTTCGAGAAGTTTGCTATTTAAAATCAGCAATATCGGTCCATAAATAACGGAAATATGAGCTAAATTCCGAAACAACACATGAAACTGCAAATACATTATTGATTAGTTGAGAAACAACAGCAGCTATTTCAATAAATTCTTCTCTTTCGTTCAGGGAATAATATAATTGAAATCTGTTAGAATCGATTTTAAATTTCATAAACATAGCTCCCATACAAATTTAAATACTCCTGGAAAATGTATTTATTGTTAATAACACCCTCTAAAATATCGCTATTTTGCAAACACATAGAAATCGTATTAATAACTAAAACTAGGATCGGTCTATAATTGATCATAGCCAGTGTTGCCATATATTTTTTGAAGAAAACTTTTTATTTTTATGAAAAAAACTTTTTTTGTACTAAAATTACAAAATACCCAAGAAAAATTAGTGAAAAAATGAGCAATTTGAGGATATTGATAATTGGTACAGAACTTTTCCTTAACATCAGTAGCAAGGAATTACTGGATATTGTGGTCTTAGACACCATAAATTTACACTTGAAATGTCATGATGAATCTATGTAGATTCTGTGTACTACAAGAGGAAACCTCTGAACTTTTGTAACTACCCGTCATTGGGAACTCGAAACACGAAGATTTTGTCTTACCCAGACCCAGATGATATCTTCAAACACTCACCGATTAATCCATTTATCTTCATGCGCGAATTTGGCCTAGTATGGTGAACCAATGGGCTGCACAAAATCTCTACAATATGGTCGAAGTGCATTGTGTCCTTAACGTCTATTCTAAGGGATTAAGGTCATCAACACCGGTCAATTTTTTTCAGTTTTTAGGATTATCTCGAATATTAATGGTATAAAATATTATTTTGTTAATGGTAAACATTGTTTTTTTATTTTAAACTTATTTATTGATTAAATAAAATAAAAACTGAAAATCTGTATAAATTTTCAAAAAACTTTTTTTATTGGAATAAAACTTGAAAACTTTTTTGAATCTCAAAAAACTTGCAAAAAAAGGGAAAACTTGACATATGGTAACACTGATCATAGCTCGCTTATGAAAATAGATTAAACGTACATAATTCATTAACAACTAACCATTTCGGGACAATATGGGCTCATAATTGGTCATAGCTTCCATATAAAGTTCACTTTCGAAAATCACTTAATCGTAAATAAATCATGAATTAATCATTTTTTGAGATCGGTCATTTATATAATGTAAATTTCTATAAATATTCCACGTGAAAGTATAAAAACTAGCTTATAGGTGAAGAGTATTCAATATTCGCCATAGTCGAATAAAGAACCGCTAACTTCTTTTAATTTTATATTATTTTCAGTAGGAGAGTAATTTTTTATTATAACGATCAAAGACCTAGTAATATTCCAGAAGTACATATGTACAATATTTTAAATGGGGCTAAGTATTATTATCATAGAATTAAAATCAGTTCAAAAAGTGATTCTGAACAATTAAATAAAACCATAATATTTAATTACATGAGAATTAGAAAATGTTATTTATGATTTGATCGTTCAATAAACCCTATTTAAAACAATTAAATTTTTTGTACATAGTATTTTATTTGTATTATAATTTTCAAATTCATACTTTTCATATTGTCTATTTGTAAGGTTTAATTAAATTATTTAGTAATATATGTCTGTGTGGTCCTTAATCCAATTCAAATAACTGGTTACACGAACAAATCCAGCTGGAAGTCCAGCTTGGCAACCAAGATTCGAAACAAATGATGTAACACCAATAAGTTCTTGTGTGGAATCCAAAACCAATGGACCGCCGGAATCACCCTTGCAAGTAGAGGAACCGCTTGGTGTTGCAACGCAAAGATTTTTATTAGAGATAAGTGATCCATAAGTTTGAGCACACTCAGCATTACTGATAACTTCGAGATAAGTATACAACAATGTTGATACAACTGAACCGTCTAAAGAGATAAATAAAATGTAAATATGCATATAAAAAAAATCTTGGTTATGAATATAGAAAATTATAACTTACAATCTCGGTCACGACCCCAACCACTAGCGATGCCATAACTACCAACAAAAGAAGGATATGAATTGGACATAGCTGGTAGTCTAACAGGTTGAATTTCATCACTATAAGTAACTTCAGGAATTCGGATTAACGAGATATCATGGGCCAAGCTATTGGGATTAAAGCCGGTATGTTGAAAAATTGACGTATAGTCAACATTGTAAGTGACTTTAGCAACAGTACGAACGGTGCTTCCCAAATAAACGGTTGCAGATCTCACACCATTTGTACAATGGGCAGCAGTCAAGACCCAGGAACTGCCAATTAAAGAACCACCACACCAAAATGATCCGTAAGGTCCATTAAGTGATAAACCAACTTGATAGGGAAATAGACCGGGATAAGCTTCATATCCATTGGTAATACGCTCTTCAATAACTTTAGCTCCTTTAACGTCTTTAAGAAAAACTGGAGCATCGGGTATGGAGGCGGCCGAAACGCAAGCCAATGTTAATGCAAACACTACCAAGACTTTCATGGTTACAATCGCTATGTATAATTCGCAACTGACCATTAATCAGAAACCGGCTGTGGTTTTTATACCATCACATTTTCTTTTGGAAATATTGATATACATAATTCTTATCATTAAATTTTTAAAAATGCAATCTTAATGTTTGGGAATATATTTTCAACTCTTTAATAACAACTGATTATCTTAATAAGGAACATACGTTTTTTAAGTACTTTAGACATAATTTCGATTAAATTATTATTTAATTAAAAAATATATTTTCAACCAATTTTTACTTTTTAAAATAACTATTCCCGATGTATTATTTAACCTTAGGAAAAGTTGAATATTTAATTTCCAAATATGTTCCGATTAAACAAATTATAAATGAGTGTTTATTTGGCAATTCGTAAGATTCTGTGATGATTATAAATCATGATTGGTTACCAAGTCGAAGAGTTTAAAGGCAAATTTTTTAAATATAGTTTTAGCTATGTCAGACCGTATGTCTGTAAAATTTTCCGGATCGTTCCATAATTGATCTCATTACTTCAAAATTATATCGGGATAAAATTCTACACGAATACAAATCATTCTGTGACTCTTTTTCTATTCCATTATTTTTTTATTATTTGAGCTTTTAAAGTTTCTAACATGTAAATTTATATTAATATCCAACGTGTTAATAAAATGCTAGCTTAATGGTGAAGGGTATTTAAGATACGACTCTTTTTCAATACCGTTTTATCGGATATAAGTGCAAGTTAAACAATTAATTATTCTTTATATATTCTAGGAAATATTCCTAATTCCACACCTTCTAATTTCATTAAAATTTGCAAATTAGTATTTTTAAAAATTCAAACTCATCTAATTGTTACTTTTTCACAGCGATAAAATTTGTAAAAAAAATCGCTAGAATTTCTGTTAAAATTTTTAAATAATCGCTAACTTTAATGAGAAGTTTTATTCATTGTTTTATCAATTTCAACATACTATACAGTCAAATCCATTTATAACGAACTCCCAGGGACCAGTCAAATTTTTTCTTTATAATCGAAGTTCGAAAAAGGACGGCTGAATATTTTCTTATGATTTCAATATATTATTTTTGAAGTTCGAATTGTACTTTACGTACTGAAAATTCATTTTTAAACGAGAAATTTACTCGGATTCGGTTTACAGAACAGAACAGACTATGTAATATTATTTTGGCCAAATTGGCTTTTTTATTACTGAATAAATAAATAAAATATATTTTTTTATTATATATTCATTTTAATCCGTAGTAAATTTATGCGAAATACCCAAAAATCGCACAAACTATTTGTCTTAAATATGCATCTATTTTATCAATTATAGTAAAATTTTTACTAATCAATTGAGAGTACAAACATCCTACAATTGTAAATAAAATGATTAAAACTCGATTTTATCATAGATAACTTAATTTTTAACAATTTTCAATGGTAGTGGTTTGGTCACATTTCTATAAAGATTATTATATATTTCTTATTGTCGTATAAGAGGGTCCCTACATGGTATTATAAGTTCCTAATATTGACTGATAAAAAAATAATATGTATGTATGTATATAATTTGTATTTTTGCTACTACTTACAATTTTGTAATCTAATACTTATTTTTTGTTATTTCAATTGATAATTTATTTACTTTTTTAATAAGTAATAATTTCAAATAATATTTTAATTAAATTGGTGAATTCTTATTTTTCAATTCATGTATAATTTTTAATAAATTTGATCTTATAATACATATTTACTTTACGTGAAGAGATTTTTGAGCATGTGGGATAGGTAAATTTAAAAAAACAGTGGCAACATGTAAATTTTTTGACATAAGTATCTGCTTTTGTTGTTTTTGTAGAATTGACTTCACCTTATAAGTGTACCCTGGTTGTATACAACTGTCAAAATATACAATTTCGAGTTGCCAGACGCACAAAAAAAACATTTATTTATATAGGTATTAATTTAATTTTCAGAATACCAAAACAATTTAAATTTATAATTAAAAGAGTAATTGTTTATATGACTAAAATTTACGTTAAATGTTTACGTATGTATATCATAAATATTTTTTATGAAAACTGTTTAAATTGTAGTAATAAAAAACAAAATTTTAAAATTACCAATGTATAATAATATAATATGTATTTCTAATATGTTATAAAAAAGTATTTCTATTTTTATTCTAATAGTTTACTTTTTTGGTAATTTTAATTGATTGCATACATAAAATAATTGAAACACATGTAAAAAAATGTCTAATGTATTATACATAAATTAAAATTGTATTATAATGCCTTCTGTGTGGAGAAATTTTGGGCATGTGGGATTTTCGTTATTAGCGGTATATATTAAAAAGGTCACTCCGGCAACATATACACTTTTTGACATAAGTATACAACTTTTGTTGTTTCTGTAGAATTGACTTCACCTTATTATTCCACCATGGAAGGAATTGTTGTCGGTATTGCGCAAATAAATTTTCACCAAAATTTAAGTGGAATAGCGGATGAAAATAGGTATTAATTGCATTAATAAAAATACCAATTATATTATAAAATATAAAAAAAATATTGCAGCTCACCAAACTTTGCTATAGAGTCATCTGCAAACATGACAACTGCCGAAAGTTATTTGCTCAAAGCAGAGGAATTACCAACAATATGTGAGCAAGATGTCGGCGATGGTACTGTAAATAATTTAATTGAAACAGATACTACTGGTGATAGTGGTTGGGAAGAAGTGGAAGATGATGAAGAAAAGTGCACGCGCAATAATAAGAGAGGCTACACCTTGGCCGAAAGGCGTCAAATGCCAACGAGAGCCTCTAAAGAATCTTCTCTGTTAGGAATAAAGCGACGTACAATTATGAAACCCAGCAAGCGTGTTAGGAACACTGATGATTTTCAAAACTTAAAACCTGCCGATATAAAGAAAATTTATCTTAATAAGAAGCTAACCAATTTTAAACCCTCAAGTTTAGAGACTATTTTCGAAGAGGCAACAACCACCACACAAAACAATGAACAAGATTATAGTCGCCTAATGGGAGGCCGTAAGATAAAGAGGGCCCTCTCCTGTACAGATGGTTTTAGATACAGTAAGACTTTGGTGAATAAAAGACGAGCCAAAATAAAGAAGACGTTTGGCAAACGATTTGCCTTAAAGAAAATCTCCTTGGAAGAGTTTATTACAAAACTAAATGACAGTATTGAGAAAAATGATAATGAAACAAATTCAACTGAGTGTCAAGAGCAGCGCGAGGATGAAAGCAATTACAATGAAACTGCCACACAATTTTCTTGTTCAGAAATGTTTGTATCAAATATCTCTGCTCAGCTAGAAGAGGATGATGCAATGATGCCAAATAACATTCCTACAACTGGATTAGAAATAGAATTATCAAACGAAATGTCTCTGTAGTAGACAAAAAGGCCTATTTTTAAAAAAAACTAAATATTTACAAGACTGAAGTGAGTGTTTATAATGCAAATTAATTAATGTAGTAATTTTAACTATTTGACAAGAAAACTGCAATTATAAATATGTATAACTATACTACTCTGCCAATATTTCCTTTATATATGAAAAAGAAGTTTCAAGGTTCATTTTGGAATGTTGGCATCTTTTTTTATATCCTATATAAATTTTTAATAAATCTTTTGATTTCTCTTTTTAACGTTAAATTTAAAAGTTATTTGTTATTATATGAACAAATATCATAATTTTAAAAGAATGTGAAAGTGAAATGGTTCTAACATTTATATAATGTTACAAGGACTTAATATATGATTTGCTCCTTGTCTACAAAATTTTGAAATATTTAACTTTATCATTGATTTTTTATAAACAAAGTATTTTCTCTATTGGAGATTTAAAAAACTATTTAAATTATAGTTGTATTTATCGGTAATGATGTTGTAAAAAAATTCCCAAAGTCTTCATGAAACATTGATATTGGTTTGATCCGTAAATCTGTTTATTAATAATGGACAACTTCTTCGCAAAACTCACAACATAAATTTAATTGGTAAGTTTAAAAACAAGCCATTTATACATTTATATATCCGATATCAGAAATTTTAATTTTTATTAGAATTTTCATAAAAATTTCATTTTTTTTTCGAAAATCTAAATTTTTACTAAAATTTTACATTTTTAACAACATTCGAAATTTGAATAAAAACTTTAATTTATATAAAAATTGCAAATTTTCATTGGAATTCCATTCTATGAGAAAAGATTTTAATTTTTTCTTAAATCTCTGTTATCTTTTAGTTTGGTTATTCACCAAACAATCATCTTTTCGATAATTAAACTATTTATTTCATTTCTATTACTTTTAAAAAATAAATAAAACAAAATGCATATATTTATTTAGATTTTTTTCAAATACATTTCAATCATTTATAATTTCATAGATATAAGCACAAATGAATTAATATAGATTTTAGATTAAGAGATAATAATACCATTTATTTCAAATTAATTTGACATTTTTAATACCCTATTAACTTTAATAAATATTAAGAAATAAGTCCCTAACAGCCGGTCTTTATAAAACCCATTATTTAACAAAACTAACTGAATTTTTATATTATTTATTTGTTTTTATAAATCTGGCTGTAAATACTTTGAACTAATATATAACGTTTTTTTTAAATATTAAAACAATACCGCATCGGGATATTTTCGCAGTCTTGTATCAATTACACCAATACTCTCAGTATGGTCTATATTTTGTTTTTGCACTAAACTTGGTGACTTTTTCTTTTTCTTCTCCCTTGAATTACCTTTTATGGATTTACTGAAAGGATATCTTAACGAAACATCTACATTAGGATCAATACCAGTCTCGTCCCATATCCAATCTAAATACGAGGCTACTTTTGTAAATGCAGCTGGATAACCACGATCACAACCGAAAATACTACCAAATGATGTTATACCCACAAGTACCCGTTTCTTTGAAGTACGCCTTTGCAACACTAGCGGTCCGCCAGAGTCTCCGTTACATGTGGACTTTTGATAACGGCCACTTGTGCAGATATTTGTAGATCTGTATGATAGGGGAAAGTTATTTTTGCAAACTTGACCATTTATAATGCGCAGCTGTACAAAACGCAAAATATTGCTTATGGCATGAACACCAGTGGCATAACGTCCCCAGCCCGATGCTATACCCAATTTGTCTTCGAAACTTCTGTACTCATAATCCCTTTTAGGAAGTTGAATAGGTTGTATTCTTTCTGAAACAAATTAAATTTTCTTATTATAAGTAAAAGAAATTTTTTATTAGCGATAATATTTACAACACATAATAATCCTCCTTTTATTTTTTACTTCACTAAACCCAAATGAAAAGTTTACACAAATTTAGCTGTTTATATCAATTTCGTTTCAAAATTAACATTAACTACTTTTGAACTTTTTATTTTCACAGACTCGCCCTGTTGTTTAGTTAAATAGTTGGCAACGCTGTTTCCTTATCATTTCTTCTTTATTGTTTTGGCGCAAAAATAATTAAATTACTTTATCGTTTAAAAGCCGTAAAATATACCTACATATAAACTAAACGTACATAACTATAACAGTTTTTTCGGGATTAATTTATTTTCATTGAAATTTCGAATTTTAATAATTTTTTTTTACAAAAATTTGCGTTTTTTTTTTTTTAATAAAATTTTTTATTACATTCGTATTCAAAAATCTAAATTTTTATTAAAATTGCTACTTTTTAACTAAAACTTCTAAATTTAATAAACATTTGATTTAGAATAAAAAAAAAAAAATTCATAAAACTTCGAATTTTCATAAAAATGTCGATTTTTTTTTTTTTAAATTTTCACAAAAATCTAAAATTTTTATCAATACTATTTCTAACTTTCATAAAAATTTATGATTTTCATAAAAATTTTCTAATTTTGATAAACTTCAACAAATTTTCAAAATTCCTTCAAAAATATAAAGTTTTTTGGAATTTCAAAATCAACATTTTTGTCGAAATTGGAAAAAAACCTGTAACTTTAGTATAGTGATATACTTTCAGAGTCCTGAACTAACATTTCATATTGTTCCTATTTTGTATTTGGAAATATATATCTCAAATAAACTGAAAATTGGTCAACTACATGCTTATATCCGCACAAATTTTAATTACATACTACAAAAGAAATACACACACACACACGTACCATTATATTTAACAGACTTCGGTAAATGCACCAACGCAATGTCATCTTTCAGACGGCGTGGATTCCATGTAGGATATATGATAAAGTCCCGATGATAAACCATCATACGTATTTGGCCTGGCTCATGAGCGTTTTTGATATCATGAGCGCCCAGAAACACCAAAGCCCTCGAAGCCCTTAATACGATAAAAAGAATCATCAATTAGAACGATAATGTGTCCAAATATGACTACTCATAATTAATCGCCAAACCCACATATCCACACAGTGTGCGGCTGTCAGCACATATTCAGGTGATATCAACGATCCACCACACCAATACAGACCCTTTGGCCGTTGCAGCAGAAAACCCACCTGATAGGTGAAACTATTTTGATGGGCTTCACTACCACCAAAGATACGATTCATAGCTTCTTTCGTTATCATCTCATCGGGCATTGTTTCCTTTTCGAGATTAAGTACTACGGGATCCTTCCCATAGTTCTTTTCGTCCTGTCGCATAGCGGGCGGTGCTGGATACATTGATACCAGATACATTGGTTTAACCTTATTCCATTCTATGGCCAGTGCAAATTCAACAATGCAAATAATCAAATAAATGCTTAATGATGTTATTAACGAAGAAGCACTTTTCGGCATGACAAAATAACAACAATTTTTGATTTGAAACTATAATATCTATCAACTGGTTGGTAAATTGATTCATTCAAAAGTATTTTTCGTGCATTTGATTTATAACTAAATCATGTTCATTTTTTTTTTTAGGTGTTGCACTTTCTTTTTCCTCTTTTTATTTTTTTGCTATAAAGTATTTTAGTATTTTACTTATTTGATTTGTTTGTTTAGTTTAGATTCAATTTCAATTTTCAATTTATAGATGTAAACATGTATTATTTGCGGAAAACTAAATAATAGTTGAGCACGCGCGTTTTTCACCAAACTAAATCGCTTCCACGCTGTGTTATTACCTTTTATAAAATTCACTAAGACTAAATATTCGAAATGGTCGATCTATCTATCTATCTATCTATCTATCCATGTATCTAACTACAATCTATCAATTGAATAGTTAGTTACAGTTACAGACAGACCACTGAATAATCACTTTAGGCTTTCTTTCTTTCTTTCTTTCTTACTTACTACTTATGTACTTACTTTAACATGTTAAACCAGTTTCTGCTGTGTTTTTCTATTGTTGTTATTGTCTGTTTCTGCCACTGTTTTGCTAGTGGAGCTAATTAACTATGCGGCTTTTCCATTCCATTTGCCGTATCAAATATTCGACATGTTGCATCATCAAAACAAAAGCTGTTAATGTTTCATCTAAGTGTAATTGTAACTGTAACTACTTACTACATACAAATACTTACGTACATATGAAATATGTATACATACTATGTAGATATGTATAGAGTAATACATATATACAACATTGAAGTATGAATGTAAATTAGGGGCATAACCAAAATTAGTGGTGCTAATGGTGTTCTAATAAGAAATAAACTTTATGACGGTCATTTTGGAACCAAAGCCAAAGCAAGCCAATTATATAAACAATAGAGAAGTTTATGAGAGGTTTTAGGTATATTTATACATGTACAGTGAATCAATTAAGTAATTTGCCTATGTAAAATTTTATAAATTTTAAGAAAAAACTTTATCTGAACAATTATTTTTAGCAAAATAAAGCAATTTGTTTGTTGTATTTTTTAAGGAATATCTTATATTTTAATTTTCTACCATAAAAAGTAAAATCGTGGTATTAATTAACAAGATTTTTGATAAAATGTGAACGTATTGTTAATTTTTAAGGACAATAAAGTATTTTGCTTTTTTAGGTTTTTTGTTCATTTTTTTAATATTGCTGCATTATTTTATAAAATTTAATATTTTTATTACTCCTATGTATTAGAATAACATTTTTTAGATATTTTAGTAGTGGAACGACTAAGTTTGGACATTTCATAACCGATTTATTATCCTATATACCTATAAGAATTTTTCAATATTTAACTTAACATGCAATCTATTGTTTCTTTGATTTAATTTCGAAAATATTAAGTAATTTTGAATTGGATACATGATATATTAGAAAATCAATGGATTTGGACCTAGAAAAATATTTTAATGGGGTATAAATCTATAGATTATAACAAAAATAATCTGGGTTTTTGGTCATTTTGTATTGATAAACAAAAACTACATTACGGAAACCTCATCTATTTGGGGAGTACTGCGTGAATTTCATTTAGAATTGTATAATATTGATTCTTATTCAATAAAGCTAACACTAAGTACCATCCTAGCCACTCTAAGTATGGGGATATCACCGTATACCACTATAGAACTATTAAATGCTAGAATCTTGATATTCTACCTCATATTTTGAATACATTATTTTATGAATAAAATACAGTAGGCGTAGTTAGATTTGGAGAGTTATTCTTGATTTGGGTTCTAACTATATATAAGTGTATGTATTAGCTGAAAAATATTGCTTTTGTGGATCTTAGGTGATGAGAACCGCCTCTATTTGTATATATCTAAATTAAGTATTTTTCCCGTACCACACGATAGTTCATTTTATATTGTTTTCAAGCAACCTAAGGTCTGTTTAGAGGTCTAAATTTAAACATAGTGTTCTTTTAAGTTCGTATATGGACTTTAGAGAAGCTAAATGAGGACTTCAATGGTTTTTGCTTGGATACAAGTCGCTCTCCTTTGGCAGTTAAAGATTTTGAAAGACAACTCAGTGCGTTTTTTTTAATAATTCTTTGTGTTATTTCATCAATTTCTATATTTTATATTTTTAATGATTGATTAAAGATCTCATAATTGAATTTCATTGATTTATACTTGTTCTAAAAATCTAAACTAATTATTTATATTGGAATTGCCTCATTATTTCCCTTTAAACATTTTTAACGCAAATAACTACACAGTTTCACACAATAAGGATATGATTTTTGAAAATTATAATTGAAAAATACTTAACACGTGTCCTTTTAACAATAAAACAATAAATTCCAAAAAGAAATTAAAAAATAATTTGAAAAACCCAACGACATGAACTGGAAATTTCAATATGCAAAATACTTTATTGACGTGCAAATTCTGATGAAAAATAATAAATGCAACAACAAATGCACCAAAATTTTTATTTTGATATTTTTTCTTGGTTTTCCCATTCTACACAATCTCTATTTTCAATTAGAAAACATAAATTTACTTTTTACCTGTTTTTTTGAATTTTATTTATGAACAAAAAACAAAATTCTCTTAAAAAAGGTAGGCAAAAAACTTAGTTGATTCACTGTATGTAGTTTGACAATGTCGACTTTGGGAAAACGATTCCTTAGAAATTATCTATTTGCAATATCGAATAGCTTCTGAATGTTTCCATTTTTTATGAAAATCTTGAAAAAACCGCTTTACAATAGTGTAAAATTTGTTATATCATCTAAGAGTCCAATTTTTCGACTATCTCGACCCCAGCCAACGGGGGCTTTCAAACTTTAGCACACGATATCTCTCATTAAATTAAGATATTTCAAAGAAAGGTTAAACCTTTATTTTGAAGTCGACAGATTAGAATTTCTGATGACATAACACATTTTCTTTTTATTTTTTGTGTTCTAAACTATAAAACTATTCAGGACCCGTTGCTTAAACTAAAAATTAAACAAAATCATTAGAGAGAACTATTAACAGTTATACCCTTAATATTCATATATATCTATATATATCGGTATGGTTCACATTCATAATCATTTTACTATGGATCGTGTGCTTTTTTCTGTTTTTTTGCTATTGTGTTTATTAAGTTTCTGGTGTTGTTTTAGTTGTTGTAATTATTATCATAACTATTCCCACCATTTATATACGTTGGCGATTTAAGGCGTTGAGTTGTGAATTTTAAAAGTTAATTTGGAGTTTAATTACAACTAAAAGCCAGTAATAATTTAATTTATTTTTTTGAAAACCAAAAACGTAAGGGCCTAACTGGACAATTTAACCGTTCCCGCACTGGCCAGACTAGTAAATTTAGAACTAGTAAAAGAAAAATCTGAATAGTGTTCATTTTTGTTTATGAAAAACATAAGCAAAATAAAATTTTACAACTTTGTGGTCAGCGCCTATAGAAACTGACTCTTTGACATTAATTGTTGTATTACTAACTTACTTGTCTGTCTGACTGACTTACTTTTACTTTCCTATTTGGAGAAACAAGTGAAAAACTTCATGCAATACCCTACAACCGCTAAAATGAAATATTAGATTGTTTATAAATGTTTAATGGAATGTTTTTTAAGTTGTAGCAAGATTAAATGTAATTTTTGATTGAATCTGGTCTCAGAATTTATTCATCAGGTTTACAAAAAATTGTTTTTGGTCATACTTGAGGCGCTATAACAGCGCGAAGATACCTTTATCCTTGACTAAGTGACTAAGAATATTCCTAAGTTTAGACTAGAGATCACTAATTTATTAATTGGCTTTTGATCGTCAAATTGAAAAGTTGCCATATTTGTCTAGGATTTTTTAAGGAACCTATTTTACTGATAATTTGTAGAACACAACTTACCCTTCCATGGTTTTAAAACGACCCATTAATAAAAATTATAAATGTTATTTCGGGTTTTTATTTAAATCATCGTTTTATTATTGTACTCCATTTCATTTATTTGTTGACAACACCAGAAACTTCTTCGATCCAATCCAAGTAGGAAGTAACTCTGGTGAATACACCAGGCCAACCCTTTTCGCAACCCAAAGCAATACCGAATGAGGTAGCACCAATAACATAGTTAACACCACCATCTTTGTAGACCAAAGGACCGCCAGAGTCACCATTGCAAGTGGATTTCTTATCAACTGATTTGATGCAAATCATCTTATCGGTTACTGAACCCAAGTAGTAAGTTTTACAGGTGGATTGTTTCAAGACGGGAACTTCGATATAACGAAGGAATTGAGATACAGAGGTAGCGGCATCACTATCGCGACCCCAGCCAGAAGCCCAAACCATATCACCTTCATAGGTGGAGTATTTACCATCCATCTTGGGCAAAGTAGCAGGTTGAATGAGCTCATTGAATTCCACTGCTACAGGCAACTTGATCAAGGAGATATCGTTGGACAAGGTGCTGGCATCCCAGTTGGCGTGTACAACAATGTTGGCTTTGGAGGAGTAGATTCTTTGTTGACCTTTTTCGTTATCGTTCTTGATGTCAGTAGCACCCAAGTAAACAGTAACACCATCAGCACCATCGGTACAATGAGCAGCAGTCAATACCCAGCGGTTGGAAATCAAAGTACCACCACACCAGGCACCTTTGTTACCGAAAACCAAACTTAGACCAACTTGGTAGGGAAACTGACCAGGTTTGGCGAGTTCACCGTTGGTAATACGACCTTCCAATTCTTCCAATGGCATAACAGGTACCAAGGGAAGACGTTGCTCAACAGCGGGCATAATGCCAGCTGAGGCAATAGCTACGAACAAACTTAGAGCAATAAAGGTTTTCATTGTCAAAACGTAACGAATTGACTACTGAATTTTCGACAACCATATCTCTCTTTATATACCCACAAATTTCTGCTAAAATCTCACACACCACACCACTATCTTATCCGTTGAAATATGACGACAACAACGTCTAGTCAAGAATAAGTTTGAAATTTTAAATTAGGAATTTTGTTTATAGAATTTTTGTCAAAACAAAATGTTAATGCATTGAGAAGTGCTGCATTATTTTGATTTATTATGTTTGATTT